GCATAACAAAGAGAAACTTTCACTCACCCACTGGAAGTTCATCCTGTGGGCCTTGTGCTCAGTAAAGTCATTAACAACACTGCTCAAGTCCAAATAAGTCTTAAAGACCTCAACTTGAACTTGGAGAATGAGCCACTGAGCTGTGTTCCACAATGAACATATTGGCAAGATCCCCCACAGTTGGTTTTGTTATTTAAGACTTAAAGCAAGTTCTGAATGCAAGGAGTTGGTTGGGGAAACTCTGGGATAAATCCCTGCTCTAGTAGTCCGTGAGGCGCTGTGCATCCTGGTGAAGGCATCATCCTGCACACTGTTCAGTGCCGGGCAGCCTTTACAAGTAATTTTTGTTTTACTGTTGAATGGTTTGAAGACTGAGTGAAATGGTCAATGTTTGAGAGGGCCCAAGGCAAGAAATCGACCTCCTACATGGGCCCCCGACAGATTGAGGGCCCAGGTGCACTGTTGATGTATTTACGCCAATGAGTGAGACACAGTGAGTGCACAGGCAGATTACTGTGCAGACAACATGTCTCTCTTGCTATCCATCATTGTTGAATGATGAAATATGATGCAATACTCTGAAAAATATACTCTTATTTAGTTAGCCAGTGTTACAGTAAGACTTTGAGATTACAGGTTACTCTCTGTCCCTCTGTTGACAATTTAAGCTGAAAAAAGATCAGTTATGTGAGCACAACATACAGTGAGGCAGTTGGTGGAAGCTTATCTAAAGCACATTACAATACCAGGAGCAAATACAGTGGCTCAAGTGAGATTCAAACCCCCGGACACTGGTTGTATTAGTGCCCTACAAACACACACAGCTTTATTAAAGATCAAAAGCTAACTCTTACATGCTACAATAGGTTATCAGTCTGTGGCACAATTGCATTGAACAGACTCCTGGTCAGTGTCCAATTATCTATGACCAAGTATAATTAATGGCCCCTTTATACATCGTCCTCTCTTAATAAGACCTTCCATCATTTTATTGTGTTCGTTAACAGGAGACACAGACAGAAGAAGATGTCCCTGTCAGTCGATGAGCATTTGTCCTTCAGACATCCATATTGTCCAAACACAAGTAATCTGTAATGTGTAATTACATTGTAATTACTTCAGTTCAATAATGAAAAGTTTCCTTTGGAATACTGAATCTACAGAGTACACAATTTTAATGGCAATATATATTCAAAATAATCTAGTTGTTAATGTGTTAACTAATAAATGCAACAGACAAAAATAAATTAGTAACTTTATCTTGAATGCGCTGGTATGGAGGCTTTAATAAAAACATAAATGTTTAAAAGACCATCAATCTCATATAAAAGCTATGTAATGACAATTAAATGTCAGTTTTTTACCTATCTATACCCTATTATTTGTACAGAATTTGCATCAGCCAAGAGTCAAGAGACTTAAAGGGGAAAATAAATAGGTGTGGTGGTGTAGTAACCTGTTAGCTGCTGTGAGTCCATTTGCTCTATACACACATCCATGGCCCTATATGACAAAATAAACCCATGGGAAACAATTTTCTTGTCAGAAACATCCTGTGCTCTTCAAGTCCTTCACTGAGGACAAGAACGAACGATGCTGGATCAATAGAGCAATCTGAGACACAGAGAGAAGAGCAAGGGAGTCAAAACAGAGTAGAGGAGAAAAATAATGGGTATGGAAGACAGATAAACATAGCGAGCACGTTCTTGTGAGGCCACAGAGAGAAGTGAGGGTGTGACTGATTTGGGGAGAGTTGTGTGAACACTAGGGGAAAGTCCTTCCGTTTCATGCTCTCTAAATTAACCCCCTGTCTCCTGCCAACTCTTCAGGCACCTCATTATCAAACCCAGTTGGGAGGACACTGGTCTATTCCTAACCTTCTTCTGCTCACTGACATTGCACGTCATGTTGTGGTATCCTCAGTAGACAATTACAAGAAAAATCCTAATAAAAAAAGTGCACTAACGCTATAGCAGACAAGCACTTCTTCCATAGCCATGATACTATCTCAGTGATTCCCAGGGGCACTTGATTACATTTGACAGGGTACAAGGAAAGATTGTAGCTCAACAAAATTGAAAGAAAATTAGATTATTATTTGATCCACGTATTATATCAGCACCAAAACCTAGGTGCTGCAAGTGATAGTGCATAAAAATGTGATGGATAAATGGTTTAAATAGATAGATGAAGGTAATGAATGAATAAATAAATAGTTAATACAGTAGATAATTAAAAGTAATAATAAATGAACTGATAAAAGTAGGCCTATTTGATAACTAGTTACCTGAAGGATAATTAGTTGAAATAACACTAGTTATTTAAATGTACTGAATAAAGGAAAAGTGGATAAATAGCTGAAACAGGTTAAATCACCCAAAGGCAATGGATTGAAAAAGTTTTTAAAAAGTTAGGTAAAAGTAATGGATAAGCTAAATGAATAAAAAGTGGAATTAATGCATTATTGGTTGAAATAGCTATCAGATAAGCTAGGTTGAGTTCAAAGTAAACAGTAGTAAGGGTTAGCTCAAAGTAATGGATAAACAGTTTATGTAGCTAAAAGCAAAATGGTTGATCCATCCATGATATACTCGCTTTTAAATATAATCAAATAGTCTTATAACATTCACCTTGAAATCACTTCAAATTAACAAATTTCATCAGACAAAAAAGGTTGGGGACCACTTTACAATCTTATTAGATTTGAAACTTCCTCTTCCCATTATTCTTATTCTATCTCAGAGATTCACTCTCGGGCTGCTGAACGCTGTGGGAGGTGTGATAATGGCCTACAGCCAGGAGACGAGTCGCACAATAACACTCAATCCTGCTTCTTCGTTATGTATGAGGGCAACTGCACAGTCATAAAGTCTTCTCGGTGTGCAGGTGGGCCATCTATCTTCATTATACTACCACACACCAGTTAGTGGAGCGCACAGATTTAAAAACACCCTGCAATTATTGTCTTTTACCCACAGTACATTTTATATCTAGTGGGACCATTTTCTTGGAATCATTTGTAGTAACTGCAAGAAGATTTCCTGGTGGATGAGCTGGTGGAGTATTCAGATATGCTGCAGATTATTTTTGTTGCGTGGCATTTGCTTCCTGACACACACCACAGAGAACAAGATAAGACACCAGATAAGGTTTTTCATTTTGTTCTTAGCAACAGAAATAGTTAATTCTACATCAGTGGCATTGATTTCCCTAAGGATTATTATAGTGTGTGTGTGTGTACTTATATGCATATGTAACTGTGTCCATGCAATCTTTTCCCTGTCTCTGCTGTCTCATCCACATTCTTGGGCGCTGTGAGGATCAGCGTGACAGTTTAAACCTGATCTAGGTTCCAGTGTCAGCGCTGGCATGAATAATTCACTGTGTTCAGGGTGGTGTGCTCCTGCAAATGGCAGACACTCACTGGAACAGACCGCTGGGTTGCCCTTGATGTCTCTCTCCAGGTTGTCACGAATAGTTTTGGTGCTGAACCATCCCTTTCCGCCTGCTAAGACTCCACAAGCTCACTCTTTGTGAGCAGCAAATGGACTAAATTCAGTGACTGCACAGCGCCATCTGTTGATCAAAACCAAGACACAGCTGCATTAATGCAAGCCTGCTTTTAAAGGTGTTAGTTCATGTTTGTGCCATCCCAAACTTGTTCTTCATTGCTGGTGTGTGAGTTGGAGAAATCTTCTCCCACCAATCTTCCACTTCCAAAACTTTGTATTCTTCTTTTTCTTCATCATTTTCTTCTTCTTCTTCTTCTTCTTCTTATATTATTATATGTTTGTGTGCTTGAGCTCAGTTTGTGTAGTACGTTGATATGAAAATATTTCTTCTACTTACTGTCGATCATCAAGTCTTCAAAACGATCCCTTCAAACGAGTCATCATAAAAGCTTATTGCTGAATCCATAACACCTTTATGTCAACAGGTTTTGACCAAGACTACTTTTTGTAAATGAAAACTATTGTTCTCCCATTAAGAGTTGGAGGACTTGTGAGGGACAGATTTTTAAAATAATGGCCAAAATCAATGTAGAAGATCTCAAATTACTCAGTATGACACCTGTGACGCTTCATCGACAACTGTTTCTTCACTGCTAAATTTGGTTGTGGGATATCAGGTTTTAAATGTGATGAATCGCCACAGTTCCACTTTTAGCGGTTTGACAACACAACCTTCAGGAAAGAGGATCACCAGTGTTTAACAGATCACACTAGGAACCATTCTGGCACTAACATGAAAATGTATTCACTTGACCTTAATTTAGTTATTCCTCAAACAGTGTAGAGAAGATTGTGTTATACTTACACAGAAAGAGTGAAGTGAGTTGGTGAAAGCAGTGAGTTTTACACAAATGTCTAATCCTTCAAATTAATCACGTACATCCCAAAACAAAGAACCCCCACACGCAAATATGGTGTTTATATTTTCAGACTTTTCTATTGTATTTTCTTGTGAAATACTGGACGCTTGATACCCCTTGAGGCCTCTAAAAACTATTTCTCCAACTTAGCGATCTGAGAGGGGAAATATCATAAAACTTCAATTAAAAGGTGAGTCCCAGTTAGAGGCTACCCTTTGGTAGCCTGGCAGGTTGAGTTTAGTGACTGAAGCAAATAACAGCTATGATCTTTAAGGTATTACTCGTATAAACACCAAATTAAACCTGTATAGATATTGCTTCGCTTTCAGGGAAAACAAGCCAAAAACGTTGGGAACCATTGAATTACATTACATCAAATTAGGTACTTCACCAAAGTTAATTTGACATTAAACACATGCCGTTTTTTTTTTGTTGGCAAATTAAACAGCAAATTATCAGGCTTAGGTTTGTGTATTTCAAATTTTACCAACAAGAACAACTGTGTTTTTTTATGCAAATAACAGGTCTGAGTGCAAAGTGGAAGAGTTATAGAAAGTGAGCGCAAAAGACAGGAAGAGAGAAACATTGACAGATGTTGGGCTCAAACAATATGAATCAAAGTCAGATGTGTGCAAACATGACTAAGGACTTTATTAACCAAATCATTTTCCCCATAATATCCACAAATAAAAGTGATCTCTTTATATATATTCACATTGTATAATTTCATAGTGTGACAAAAATTCTCTTTTTTTTTTTTTTTTGGATTTCCAGCCATTCCTATTAATTGTCATTTGATCAGTCGCCATGCAGTCGTCAGAAAGGTTGAAAAACGTTACGATTGGTCAGCATTGGCGGTCGTGTCCAGCGTCACTCTTCTTCTCCTCTATTGGCTCTTCGTAGTGCTAAAAACCCGTCAGTTACCCAATCACAGATTTCATCACACTGCAACAATAAAATAAAAATAAATTAAGAAAGCAATGTTCTCCTGCAGAGTGCTCCAGAGTCCTCCTCCCTTTCTCGTCTTCTTTTTTTAGACATTTTCTGTTTTTATATAATAATAATAGTAATAATAATAATGACTATAATTGTCCTTGATATAAATTCAATAGTATTTTTTCTCTTTCTCAAATTTTAAATAAATCATTTTGGCAATCCTCATATGTTGTCACTTTAGAATAAAAGAATACTCAAGTAGAAAATAAAAACTGTGAGAGAAAATTCATCAGAAGAGGAGTGAGGTGTGAGAGAATGAAAAGTGTGAAAGCAACAGAGAAGAGCGAGAGAGGAAAGAAAGAAAAGAGTGAAAGAAAGAAAGACAGACTCAAAGAAAAGCATCCACTTCAGACGCATGTCAGAAACGGCTCTATATACAACAATTTCTGTTGTGGAAAACTGTCCATCCTGTGCCTGTTGTCTGTCTCCTGTCCTTCCTCCTCCAGTGTGTCTGCAGTAGTCCGCTGTGTGTCCCAGTGTTATACCAGAGTGTAAGACTTGGCATAGGGGTTGTTGCTCTGTTTCAGGTGTCCTCTGGAGTCCAGCAGTGACTCCTGGGAAGTGCTGAGCTTGGCAGCCTGTGCTTGGGCAAGGTCTCCTGAGGAGGAGACCTCCGCCCGGACCTCACCCCGGGCCTCTCCCCTCTCCCGGACATCCCTGTGGGGGAGGGTGGAGGCAGTTCCTGGCTGCCACTGCTGCACCTCCCTGGGTGATGGCACTTCCATGGGGGTGGGCTCCATGGGAGGTGGCCTCTTCAGGGTACGGCTCCTCTGGGGTTCCAGGCAGGTCTGGCCCATGGCTCCTCCTCTTGTTTCCCCTGTAGCACCAGCACCAACTCCGCTTGCTCCTGCTCCCCCCCCCTCCTCCTCCTCCTCCTCCTCCTCCACCACCTCCTCCACTGCTGCTGCTGCCACTACTGCTGCTGACTCCTCCACCTCGGGCTGCCAGTGGCACGCCGCGGTTCAACAGGAAGTCCATACGGAGGTAAGGTGGCAAGTGGACCAGCTCTCCTCCTGGAAGAAAAACATCACAGGCCAGAAAGAGTTTAAAATGAAGGTTTAGATAAATTAGTTTGTCTCTGTATCAACAACTCAAAAAGTTGTTATGGTGAACATGACTCTGAGACTACATCTGACAATGTCCACCATTCACTCTCCTTTTAGCTCTCTTTTTGGTCTCCACTCCTAAGAAACATATCTGGCTCATTAGTTGCTAAATACTCCACAATGTTCACCAGCTAGCAGCTAAATTTGTCTTCCTGCTGTTAGGTTCTGTGCGAGGGACACTGAAAACGCTGATCACAGTGGCGGGAGTGAAACAAGACAGTAATGCTTGGGATTGTAAAACCAAAACAATGAGCTAAAAGATGCTACAAAGCTCTGTCATGCTCAGGGAAATGTAGAGTTGGGCTGCATGTAAATAATAAGATATTAACACGTTTATGAAACACATGTCCCATAACTTTAAAAACAATAAAGACTTGATATATTTTTGAGGATTTAGGATGAGACTGTATTGCTCTCAACAGGTCTAAGTTTTTCCACAGACTCCATTCGTATTATTCCATCCTCTCGGCCTAAATTAACTGCACACAGAGTTGAAAATCTATATTAGACTCACATTCACACTGTTACATTTGCTCACTTCGGTCCCCTTTAGGAATATGATTCACATGACTATTATTTTAATGCAATACCAATTTTCAACTGTGAATGTATTTGATTTAATGGTTGCTATCAGGAAAAATGTGCAGACCATAATGTAATAGGGAGTTGAATATTACAATGTCATCTTTTCGATTATTGTCAGGGACTGACGCAATGATTAAGTTACTGAGGTGTCTTTTCTTACTGTGATGAAGCCCAATGATGGACTATGTCTAGACTACCAGCCTATGTATTGTATATATACTTATACATATCTAACAGAGCAAATTAGTCCCTCGCAAAACAGGTGTTGGGTTGCCAGATCTGGTGGGCAGCACTGGAGATTCAACACTTGATGAGCTGAGGATCTGTGTGTATTGTTTCATGACTGCTGAGGAGTTCATCTTCACATTCATCTTTCAGGACTGGAGATCAACAAGTGTTTACAGGTGTACGGTTCATTGCTAAAATCACTTTTCAACATGTGTTCCCTCCCCCCCCACCCACCCACACACGTGCCAACACACTCGCCAACACACTCACATGTGTACAGCCCACACAATCACGAATGTAAGTATGTACATACACACTCCCTGCCAGCTACTCAGCGTGAATGCCAGCACAGATGAACCCGTCTCTGCAGATTTAGTCCCACATGTGACCTTGAAGAATGGATTTCTGGGTTCACGGGGAGAAGGCATAATTTACTGTGTTTTATAATAAGCCCTATTAGTGCCAGTAAAGATGATGAATGGCTAGGACTGTTAATTGAATTAAATATAGATTCAAGTGTTTCTGTGGGAGCTCGTTAAAAATGTAGTTTGAAAATTCATCAGCCACTAAATTGCAGATCGCCCAGTAATGGGACAGTGTGTGCAACCAGAATACAACAGCAACACTCTGCCAAGCCATTAATCTATGTAAGTGTCTGCTGCATCTTCAGCTCAGTCTGCACTGTTGAGATGGGTGACGTCTTGACATTCTCCCACCCGTGTTTCTATACTGTGTGTGTCATTCAGAGGCACACATACACACAACATATTTACAGGCCTATCATAAACTGACTGCTGCCTGTAGCCTTGTAATTACCAGAACTGCCGTAAAAGTTTATGAGCAAAGTGCTGAGGAACAAGCTGTAAGGGGACAGGGGCCCAGTGGATTTGCTCTTAAGAGGCACTGAAGAAGAGTAGCACAAATAAATAAACTATTACTCTCAAAACAACATTGTCAGGTGAAGGTGTTCACACGAAATGAGATGAGACAGACAGAGAGAGAGACAGAGATGAATGAGAAGCTGTCCCTCTGCCTTTGACCTTTGGGGCAGACAGGTGAGGTCAGTTCAGGTCAGTCAGATGTAATAGAGACAGAGATGAGGTTGAGGCTGGGTCATTCACCAGCTGTCAGTCAAACTGGCCTCCGCACTGGGTCTGGGTTTCAATAGATTAATACTGTAATTTGACATGTGTGGAGAGAACATCTTAGTGCATCTCATACTTCTACTATACATTATGAAGGTGAGAAGCGATTAGCCATTAACTGTTTTGTGACATACACTACATGGAAAAAGTACTTGCACTCCCCTTGTCCACATACTTTTGGTTTGGGACTGTTTTTCATGGTTTGGGATAGGGTTATCTTAAAGGACCAGTGTGTAGGATTTAGTGGCATCTAGCAGTCTAGTTGTAGAAACTACCATGGCCACAAAATGAGTCTACATAGAACCAGTGTTGTCCAATCTGAGCTACTGTAGAAACCTGGCAACTTCCTTGGAAAGCGACCAGCTGTGTCTGTAGATAAAAACGGCTTATTCTTCTTACTAATTCTAATTTTCTGGTGATTATACACTAATGGAAACAAATAGTTATGCATATAACATTAATTTTGCCAATTAATCCTCCTAAATGTTACACACTGGACCTTTAATGTTGCACTCAATATTTTTATCCATGTTCGGTCATATGACTATATGTAATGTGAAAGGGCTCGCTCGTATTAATGAAATCAAAGAGAATTATGACCCGACTCTGCAGTTCCTCTCAGCCCTACGCAGTGTTGTAGTGTCTTAAAATAAAATACAACTCTAATAGGCAACTGTATATATATATATGCAATATGTCTGCATACACAGAGCCCTGACCTCACACCCACCCAAAATGTTTGGGATGAACTGGATCTATCGCCCAACATCAGTGGTCGACTGACGATCTTGTGGGTGAATGTGAGCAAATCCCTGCAGCCAGGATCCAAAATGTCGAATCCCTTCCCTTTTAAATGAGGTGTTTGACAATGACATGGGCATAATATTTTCCACATACTTTTCTCCCATGTAGTGTTACCATGGTTGTAATGGTTGACAGGAAATTAACATACTTTCATATTGTATGCACAAACAAATTCTTACAATAACTATGAAAATTGGTCAGAGCAGCTATTTACAAAGGCTCATTATTTTTTAAGCCTTCAAAATTCTGTGATTGAAAGATTATGTGTAAATCCAAATGCCCCTTACTGTATCTGGGTACTTATTAATTGTCAGAGTTGCTGCAGGGCTCTCAGAAAACGACGTTCCTATCATTTTACAGTTCATTGACTTTAGAGTCAGCTGAAATACCATTCAAATAACATTTGACACAGCTAAAAAAGTTTAACATACTCAATAATAATGAAAATATATAACACACATTTAGATCTGACGCAGTCAGGACATAAGAAATGTACTTCCAATTTTCCTGCTCAAACCGAACTTTCTCTATGAGTGCACATTCTTCTTTTGTACAATGTCAAAACTCTGTACAGTCGACAACCCACCAGGAAACAGTAGAGGCAGCACAGCTTGATTCTTATGCCTATAATGTATCCCTCAAAGTAACTGACACCAGAGTCTAGCACTCAGCGATACCGAACCAGCCCGAAAGGCTAAGAGTCTGGTATTACACCGAGCGGTCACTGCTGTGGTGGTAAAGTGCTGTTTTGTAATGAGTGACAATAGCTTCAGATAAGGTTGACTGATAGCCTTTAGTTGCCCTCTCTCCCTGGTGAAGTGGTGATATGAGTCTGCTGTCCTGAACACAAACGTTCAAAACACAATGCCGGCTGAAACTTAAGTAGCAGATCTGATGGCCTCAACTCTTGTCTGGTGAATGGAGGATTCTGGGAACGTGTACAGACACACACACACAGACCTATATTTCTGGTTCTTGGACAGGACACCTCCAACAACGCTAATTATCGGTGGCCTCAGACACACTCTAACAGGACAGCAGATGGGGTGATGGATGAGCTGTGTACATGTGCCAGGGAGAAGTGTGTCTGTCTATTTGAATGTCTGTGCTTCTGTGTGTGGTCAGCAGCCCATCGACATACTCTGCCAGAACTAGTAATTGATCTGCAGGGCTACCCGGAGGAGCAAAGGGTCACGTAAGGTAAGACGACTACAACCCAAGAGGAGAGCACTGCAGGTTGCCTCAAACTGCGGATTAAGGCTTTTGAGGCCCTTCATGTGGTTTAAAAAACAACATTCATTAGCAAAAAAGTTTTCTGTTTGCTTACAATAAAAGGCTTCCCTGGGGTGCTATTGGAGGAATCCTTGTGCATAATGTGTGATGGGTTTGCTTACTTTGTTAGGGCTCTAAAAGTTGGATAAAAACAAGGAGCTATTCCCACAAAGGGCCTAGAAAAAAGATTGAACACGATCACTAATGTACTGAGTAATGGTTTAATGAGACTATACTGTATATAGCAGCAGTCTAAATCTGATCAAGGTTGAATTAAAATAGCAGTTGACCGAGGTTGCCATCAACAATGTCATTTTTAAGAGACAACAAACTAATGAAAAGTGATACCATCAAGTTTCTTACAAGCTGATTGACAAAAATAGCTTGAAACAAAGAGACCAAATTATTGACATCTGTTCTCATAGATTGTAAATAGATGGATTGCTGCTTCTTGTAAAATTTTATACATAAATCTATCCAATGTGATCCAGCCAATTGGACCCATCATACAACACTGAACTTGACTGTTAGCTTTTGGGTTGTAGTAGCTCCAGTAGCAGAGCAAAATAATAACAACAGGTGTATGTTTGGATCTCAATACCTATCATAGTTTCCAAGGAATGCAGTTGAGGTCTAATTAATCAATTTCTACCTCATCATCAAATCTCCAGGATTTGATTTAAATCCCTCTTATAACTACTCCCTGCCCAGTGGAATGGAAAAGGCGCAGCAGGGCTGCTCAACACAAGGTTCAATGAGTTCTAAGGTAAACTTCCACTTCCTCACCAGGTCTGTGCGCTTTGGGCACGGCCATGTTCATGACCCGACTGACATCCTGAGGTTTGGGCGGCGAAGCTGTAAAGCGGCAGATGCCCGACTCAGACGGCGTGCTGGAGGTCAGGCTGTCAGTGTAGTCGTTGGTCCCTGCTGTCATCTGCTCAGATGAGGTGTCAGAGATGAAGCACTCGGTGATGGTGAACTTGGCATGGCGCAGCTGCTCTTCCATCTTGGCATGCTCGTAGGCTCTGGCCAGCTCCTCATAGGTGGAGGAAGCACTCTCTGTTGATACCATGCTGCTCCGTGCTCGATCTGACAAGTACATATCATGATACACAAGTTTAATTGTTGTAGATATAGAGCATGCAGTGTAGAGTGCAGCACTAGACTTTTGAAAATATAGTTGAAATGTAACTTTATGTGGTGTTTTAGTTTTATCTATTAGAGTACAGTAATAGATAAAAAAGGACGGAGGAGATAGAGGGAAATGGCAAAGGTTTATCTTGGATTTACACCCTGAAAGCCTCAGCCAAGAATACGCCCCAAAGTCACACTTTGAAATGGAAAAACTACTCCCAATGTGCTTTGGATTGCAGGGAAGCCATTGTGAGAGGCATGCAGATCGCTGTCACACTTGAAAATCTCACAAAAGCAACACGATTTCTATCACATCCCGCAAATTTCTAACCTCAAACCTAAAAGAAGGCTGCAAGTCCCTGTTGTTCCTGGGTAGCTGTGATGGTCACCCTCCACCCTGCTCTAATCTACCTGTATCCTGTGAGGGGCTGACACTGTAGCTGTCGCTCTCCTTGTCAACAGATCCAGTGGCGCGTGGCGTGGGGAGTCTCCAGTCAGTGGTCAGGGTGTGTGAGGAGCTGGTGGGGTGCGGCCGATTCAGGGTCCACTGGCTGGCGTAGCGGCTCCGTGCCGCAGCAGGTCCAGCTTTGGCAGTGCGTCTGGCAGTGGGATCTGGTGAGGAGAGAAAGGGACAAAATGTTGGTGAACAGAGCTAATAACAGTTACTCCATTTTTCAGTGTAATCAATTCAAGTCCCTTGACACAACACTAACTATCACGGACTGGATTGTTTGGTTTTGATTAAGCTGCCAATTAAACTCTGACAGTTTTTCAGATAAATAAAAATTTTAGACTTTTGCGTATTTAGAAATATTCCCTTGGTCTGAGATCCAAACTCATTCAAGTCTTCTTTTCTGTGAATAAAAAGATATTGGTGCTTGAATAAAAGAGTAAATCATTTTTTAATTCATGACCATACGTCAGTGTTTACCAGGGACTGGATAGAATAAATTGCTTTCTTTCAGATTCGTCTTTCAAAATCTAATTATGGGAATTGTGTTAGTCTCCAAGAAAGTATTTCTTTTCCAAATGACTCTGTCAATAATAGAATGAAAATGAAAATATTTCATTAAATATCATTGTTCAGAAGAAAGAACTAAGTAGAAGTAGAAGTAGATGAAGTAGATATGGCCTTAAGTATGACTGAATCTAGGAAGGAGTTGGGGGAATATATGTCTTTCCTGCCGTGTTGTGGTACAAATCTTCAGTTTACCCCTTCAGTGAACGCTGAACATTACCATCCCAAAGCTCTGTGCAATGACATCATCATCAATCTTGAGCTCTACCTGTCTCCATACAGACATATAAATAGTATCATGTTCAGCCTGACCCAGACAGGCTGCTACTCTGTGCACCGCTGGGCCACATCCGAATGAGACCCTTTAGAAAAGCCCTGGATTGGATCTGTGCGGAGAAGAATGGTGCTGGTAATTGTAGTAGGTCAGACAGTAATTCTATCAGTGGGGATGGAGGGATAAAAGGATGGAGGTGTTTGGCCAACAACAAAAAAACAAACAAAAAAAACGGATGAGTCAGCAAACTGGGTTCATGCCCCACTGGCCAGGTTAAACGAACCAATCATATATCTATAGGCTTGTGTGTAAATGTGTGTGTGTGATTGTTTTGAGGTTGTTTTGTGCATGTAAGTGTGTGTTAGAGCAGAACTGTGATAGTGTCCTGTGCGTTTTATGTCCTTGAGCAATGTGTGTGTATAATACTGTCTGTGTGTGTATTGCAGATGCCCAGTATGTAGGCATAGTACTGTTAGTGATAGCAGATAACAAACATACCTAAAAAACCTGTATGTTAAATGTATGAAAGACATTTTTGTGCTTCTGTTTCTAGAAGTGTGCAACTTTACTGTTCAATTTGCAACAGAATATAAATTGTAAACCATTAGCACAAGACAACTTGCATGTCTATCTGTACTAAAACGATTACAAAAGTTAATTAGTAATGGTATCTGAATCTGTATTGGCCAATTTCAAAAAAATATAAAAAAATATAAAAATGTTGCACTGTCTGCAGAAAATCATTTCAGGGCATCAGTGATGTGAGTGTGCGTGCCTGTGTCTGTATGTGCATGTGTGCAGTGAGGTCCAGTTGGAGCAGGGCAATCAGGTGAGGACGTGTCAAGAAGAGGCAGGGAGATTGCTACTCTTCATCAGTTCAGCTTCAGTGGAGCTCAAACACCAGAAGCCCAGAGGCCGCTCTGCAGCACGGCTGCTGAGTCTTTGTAATCTCACTGCTGGAAGGCGGCTCACACGCTGTATGTTTACGCAGTCTACGGTTAAGCTAAGCTAAGACAAGGTAGAAGAGATATTTTCCTTGCATGTAATCCAGATGAATGTGCAATGAAATGCTATTACCAGTGTTTATATTTTATGGTGCTGAGGGAAATTTCATTTAAAGTGACATCCTTTTACGAGAATATAACAACCGGTATGTAGATTCAGGAGGGAAATTAGCAGTGCAAGATTCATGGCTGCAGAGTAACCAGATAAAAACAAAAATATCCGGCTGTAGTCACAAGACACTTTATCAACATTATGTCATCATTAGTAACACAGGACTAGTAGTAGTATTAATATTAGTAGTAAAGGAAATAAATGTAGAGCACTGACGGTGGTGGGACTCACTGGTTCCAGGCCTGGCATCGGACACGTCCACCAGCGGTCCAGTGGCCTGGGACAGAGACTGGTAGTGGACTGTGTGGGTCACTGTGGAGGATTTTTGCTTGTTTGTCTCCCCAAAGTCATTGTCTGTCAACAGCACGGTGGACCTGTCATCTGAGAGACAGAAAAACAACGGACAGAGAGGGGAAGCGGGTCGAAGCAGGAAGGAAAGAAAGACAGATTAAATATCAGTCATAAGAATAATGAATATGGTTACTGCTGAGCACAAGATCTCACTTCAAGTATCTTACCGATTGTCTCCATGGTGTCCCTCTCCTCGATGAGAAGCTGGGCTCTGGGGATGTCGATGTGCATTCTTAACGTCTGCTGCTGCTTGTTCACTGTGTCTGGAGTCCGAGTGTTCTTACTAAGGAGGTTAATGAGAAAAATTCATTACTTTTCAGCTTCCTGATTCTGCATTGTATCGCAGAAATGCTAATTCAATTCCATTCAAGTTGATAAGTAGCTGTAAGAAGGCAAGAGGGACAGCATATCCGGTGTGCAATATATTTGATTTTTAATGATGGGTACTGTAACTCTGGGCTACATTGTGATTTATGTTCACTGCTTAAAGGAAAACAGCTAGCATAAATTAAAATTAAAGCGTACATACCTCATCAGCATTTCTGCCAGGCTTTTGGCATCTGTGAAGTCAGCAAAGAGGTAGTTAATACCATAATAGCTCTGTCCTAGTTGATAAGCTACAGAAGTGGAAATACTGTACAATCACTGACGATTCCACTTAAAAAAAGGCAATGAAAGCAAATTTGACCTGAGGAGACCACTATGGAAGTTTATTAATAACAAAAGCAAAGTTTAGTCTCGGTTTTTCACTGTTCAGATGAACTCGAGCATCAAACGATTGTAATTACAGGGCACTTTTCTTTTGTCTGTGTGCTCACACGTGTGTTTTCAGAGCATGTTTCCACACATAAACAGGATGTGTGTAGGTGTTTCAACATGTGTTTATACAGCATGCAAAAGTGCTTAGGCACTAAATAATGTGCAGCCATATTTTTGTTAATCAGATAAAGTGCATTTTAACACCTCATACAAAATAACCCATAATTTGATCTACAACCAACCTCTAAGCCGCTTGAGCCGCTGCTCCCTCCTCCTCCTCTTTAGCACCATGAGCATGATAAATACCAGTACAGCTACCACGAGAATGGAGGTGATGGTCACCACCATCTTCAGACCTCCGCTGCCTGACATGTTGTCTGAGATTGGATCTCCTGTCTTCAGCAATGGAGGGATGGTACCTTGGAAAATAACACATTTAGACATTTGTGAGGAATTAATGCTCAGACACCAAGACCCTCATCTGAATGTTCATCTGGAGCGCTGCTACTTGACTTAGCCTTTAGTCTCTTTACTAGATGAGGTATGACAACCTACTTTTCTTAATAATGTTTAGTTTTCTTGGTTTTGTAGCTGCTTATGTGAAGTTTATGTTCATACTTTATCATTTTATGAAAAACCAAATAATGTGCAAGACCAAAAAAAAAAACAATGTTTGAAAATCAATGATTCATCCTCATAAAAGGTGGAAGAAAAATCATTTTTATGCAGCACAGTCAAAGATTATAGGGATGAAAACTGCTTAAGGAATTGAAGATATTGATTTTCCACATGCATGCTTTTGATGTTTGAAAGCTGGGAATCCCTTAAGATGGATTTCTTCTAGTTGATTTATACAATTTAAAAAGAGATTCTGTCTCTCCTAGACACATTAGGAGAGTAAAGCACGTCCTCTTTGAGCTTTGTATATTGTTATTATTATTATTATTATTATTATTATTATTATTATTATTATTATTATTATTATTTATTATTATTATTATGGATTAGTATAATTAGCCATCCATACTTCCCAAAATTTGAAAAGTGTTGATGCAGTCTGGAGTCTCTCTTAGCACTCCCTGGGTTCATCATAGGAGAGGGCCAACACATAACATATAAACATATCAGCACATCACATCAACAGGGAATTTTAAGTCTCCAGTTCACCTGACTTTCATTTCTTTGGAACTAAGGGAGAAAACCAAAGCAGACATGAGGAGAACAAACAAACTAACTCTCTAACTGCTTTAAAATTGGTTTAAATCGAAGCTGGGGGACCAGGTTTGTAGGAGACTGCACATGTGCTGTTTGACTCCTGAACTGCTGCTCAAAAGCTGAGCTATACACTGACTGTCAGACTGACAATAGCATCCACACACACATGCCCAGAGACAGACACACACACACACACACACACACACACACACACACACACACACACACACACACACACACACACACACACATGCAAAACCACATCCACACTCACGCATAACATCCTGACAGGCAGCTTACACGTCTCAGCAAAACCCTTCAAAGGAAATTAATGAATAGTCTGGAGTGCACCACAGAGCTCTCACCACCTCCTATCCTTCTTTACAGCTTACACACTTCCTTTGTGTATGACTGACGCAATCTGTAGCCCAAAGCAAATAAAGCTAGACCATGGCCCGTGGAGAATCTGAAGACTGTCCTTGTTTTCTTCCTCAGCTGAGCCGTCAAAATACCTGTCAGTTTGTTCAAAGGCTTTTTTAAAAGTACAAACTGTACTGTAGGCAGAACTATATAATAATAGCATTTAATGGTGGAACACTGCTGCCCTGAACAGTTGCAATAAAGGCTGTAAGTAAAGTAAAGTAAAGTAGGGTGTTTTAACTGGTGCTGTAATGATTAAGAAATAGTAATTTAAGTCTTAAATTGGGTCTAAATTCTTCCCTTTGCTCTCAACCCTCCTTCTTCTGACTGTGTGTTGATGTGAAACATAGTGGTGCCCTACTTCAAAGCTACTGTAACAATGTCTCATGACACCTTAAACTGTATAAAATCTGATGTTAAAGAATACAAAGAGCAAAAGGGGACTAGAAGAAACCCTTTTCATTGGTCTTTATACTCATTTCCTGTTCCATGTCCCTTATGTTATGTAATTGAAATGTTTGGCCATACTTTCAGTTTGGAGGGAGATTTTATTCATGAAAAGTCCTTAAATTACTCCTGAGTTGCTTCTGATACTTATGTTCCACCCTGATCCAATGATCCTCTATATCGGTGCAACTCTGTGACAATCTGTTTAATCCAAACTCACTTCCGTCAGCATTGAGAGTAGCAAACGTGATCCTCTTTTCTGCTGAGCCAGCGCTGTTGGTGACCTTCATCTGCAGTTCATACCAGGTCGCCTCCTGCAAGTCGTACAGGATGTAGCTCTTGGTCAGCGATGTGCGCTGGGCAGTGGTCCAGGTGGTCGAGTCCACTGCGCGGTATTCCAGTATGAAGGAGGTGATAGGACAGCCGCCGTTGTTCCAGCCAACCAGGTTGAGCCTGGCCCTGGTGGAGTTGATGCTGGTGAAGAGTTCATGTTCTTTGGCAAACTGTGGCTCTGTGGAGAAGATAGGGAGAAAAGATTATCAGCATTTCTCAGTTTTTTATGGAACCCAAGCTTTTTTTATTGTTGTTCTCCAAAAGAAGATAAAATGAGAAAAAAAAGAGCAAATCTTTTTACAGGCAAAACAGATGATACCATTACAATGGAAAAATAGTCCAAGTATTGGTAGATGGCTAAAAGTGTCTGCATGTATATCCTCAGAAGAAATGGACATGGAAAGTGTACTGGGTATATAAAGTAAAATTGGAGATAATTGATTTTTTCCTCTGCTATGAGCAGGATGGGCACCCAGCAATGCTTGCTTTATGTAGACTACATGATTGGAAGAAGCTGAACATTCATGATTATATATCATTTTTGACCATAATAATATAATTTAATTATTATTTTAAAATTTTTTTGTCTTTTGTATGTTTGTATATTGATATACAGTTATTGTTAATGTTTCCTGGAAAACAAATTAAGTGTTAAAAAGATCACAGTTTGGAAAAATGAAAACTTCTGTGGAAAAAATCAAACAATAGATGAATACTGGTCAAAGAGCAACAATGTTTATACACATTTTCTTCCTCAGTTATGAAGATATCAATGAAAACAAAATTGTGTCACAACATTAAGGGCTAAGACAAGAAAATATTCCCTTACATACTTTCATTCATTCTACCACTAGAGTTATTGAAAACAATCAACATAAAGGTATGAGAACATGACTCCCAAAAGTGGTTGCTTTGAATGCTCTTAGACAACATTTTGACTGAATTTCAAATTTCAACGTCCTACCTTTCCCATGGGTCTTAGCTTCAATGATCTCACTGATGCGCCCTGGCCCAACTGCATTCTGGGCTGTCAGGGTAAATTTGTACCAGGTGCCGCACTTCAGGTTCTCCAGGCGATACGAACGTTCACTGGGGCTGATGGGAAAACTGCCCCACTGCTCACTGTTGTCCTCTGAGTACTGCAGGATGTAACCTGGGGAGGCGAACGGTGAGAATATAAAAGATGGGAAAATGGGGGCGATAGAGGATTTGAAAAGTAATTATACAGGAAATTTGTAGTTTTATTTACACATTATAATACAATAATTGTAATGCAAATATTTTCACATGTCTATTATTACCTCTTAAGACTGAAGAGAGAAGAACACGACTAAAAGTCAATAGCCACACTTGTGGCCCTGTGAGGTTATAAATCACCACAATATAAAACTGTTGGATGGATGAGACAACGTTGCTATTCTTACACCCTGCAAGTGGCACCAGAGGAAAGTTCACTGAAATCAATCATTAGATCTCAGATACAGCCATATACATGGAGCTCTACTTGGTAATTGACTCAGCTTTGAAATATCATATGAAAGTTATTGAACTATTTACCCATTTCTGACTTTGATTTATTCCATTTTACCTGACTTGGAGATGGATAGTATGTAAGTAAAGCATGGAGTAGTCTAATAATATGATGATAATTTGGTAAATGCTTATACAAGACAAAGTCTGCCTATCAAACAACTGTACAACAGCTGTTTGCAGAAATGCAGATTTAGTAAAAGTAAAGTAATGTGTAAGTAAGTAAGATTAATTCTCTGGGCACCACAATGTCTGTACTGACACTGATGGCAAGCCATCCAATTATTCAGTTAATCAGTTATAGTTGTCTGGACTAAAGTGTTAAGGTGTCTGTGTGAGGACAGGCCAATCGACCAATATTACCTCCCTAGAGCATGCTGCAAGCCTAACTAAAAATAGACAATTGCAGGCTTAGGTGTGTGTATTTTGGTGATGGATGATGCTGCGAGCAGGGGAAGCAAAACAAATATCACAGAGAAGGTATCGTGGACAGCGTTTATAGCGACTGCAACTCTAAGATGGGAGCCCGGTGATTAGGAGCAATGATAAATCACCACAAATCTTCTCACTGTGATTGGGCTTTCTTTAAGATGGAGCGCTTTAATCTTTCACTTAAACAGACCTAATCTTCCCTGCTGCTTTTTAATCTACCTTTTAGGACTTGAGGATTCAGCCCGACCACCAGATAATGAGAAACAGGAGTAAAAACAGGAGTGTTATACCAGAGTAAAGGAGGAGGTGACATTGGTTATCACAGGGAGCTGAAGGGAGGTGATTTTTTTTTATTTATAAAGAATAATGTATGTAGTTGAAGCATATTTGTATGTGTGTGTACAACACATTACGGTTGTGAAACTGTCCACTGTGCTGTTTCAGATTCATGTGTTGTATGTGTGTGTGCCACTGTCACCTCGGATGGAGCTCCCTCCATTGTCTCCAGGTATCCATGACAATGTGATTGATGTGGTGGTAGTCTTGGTAACTGTGAGGCGTGGCTGGTCAGGAGGGACTGAGGACAAACAAAAATTCACTGCATGGTTAGTATTCGTATTAAACTGCATCAAGTCTCCTTGTTCAATGTTTAATCTGTAACAGACCCCTGTTGTGGATGATGGTATGATATATGAAAGGTAGGGAGCAGGATAATTTGTGCTTAGAGATCTGGTGGGCTAAAAAATATAATTTAACCTAGCAGCTGCCCAAGCTCAAAACACATACTTGTACTCAAACTGACCGTGTTCATCGTGATAAAGAAATCTGTGACCCAGTGCAACGTTATGGCTCTTTTATGTGTTTTCTAAGACTGCTTGCCTTGGACCTGCAGGTTCAGTGTGATCTCATCTGACCCCCAGTTGTTGCTGGCTACACAGCTGTAGTTCCCAGAATCCTCTGCTTTCACCGTGCGGATGATGAAGCTGCCGTTGCCATGGACACTACGACGGCCATCCACCAGGACAGGTGTAGGTGTGCCATTAGTGCTGGAGAAAGACAATGTATTTACTATAGGCCATGACGGTATTTCCTCTGTATTGAGCAATACTACATGGTTGTTTGTGTGAGACTTACTTTCCCTTGAGCCACTTGATGGTAGGAGGAGGGTCTCCAACAGCCTTGCATGGTAAAACAATATCTTTCATCCAGGGAGTGGTTACTGTGCCATTGAAGGTCAGAATCCTGGCTGGGGCTAAAAAACCAAACACAAAATGGATGACATTGCATCAGCTGTCGAGAAAATAAGACACAGGTCCACAAAAATGCTGCCAACTTTTATTAATTATTCTTTGAATGACAATAACTGTATGACTCTAAAGAATATCAAAGGTTACTGTCAGCCCAGCTTGGTGAGGGTGGTGTACCTTTGGCCAGAGGCTCCACTGTGATCTTCTCACTGTTGTTGCCATGACCAGCAGCCGTCACTGCCACCACCCAGATACTGTACTGTCTGTTTCGAGCCAGATTGGGGATCCTGTAGAAATACGCATCTGGAGATGCCTCAAACTCACTCATCACCTGTAAAACAGAGAGAGAGGAGAGATTAATGTATCATTGGGCAGCAGCAGTGTCCAGAGAAATGCCATTTCATGAGATACAGAGTCAAAGCATGGGGTGTACTCAAGACCACAATCCCTGGACTGGTTGTGAGAAACTGGGTGGGAAATTTTTTGGTATACAAATGCTATTACCATCGGATGCAGGTTAGAGCAAAAGACGATGTATTTCCTGATGATGCCGTTGAGTTTGAGCGGAGGCAGCCAGGAGACAAACACCACAGAGCTACTGGAGGCTGCAGCCTTAACCCCAGCTGGAGGACCAGGAACTGGAGAAGAAGAGAGCAGTTTAGGGTTTAAAGGTGTGTGGAATAATTATGCATATGTAGCTTTAGTGTGTATTCCCACACGTATAAGCAGAACAAATATCCCCAGTTTGTATCACCTTGAAAAACATCATGAAAGTTTTGGCTTACAGGTGGGAAATAGGTATTCCTGAATTGCACAGCACCATATAATCTTTATTCTATTGTTCTTGTGCTTTTTCAGTAGCAACTAAAATGTACCAATGTACCAACATGATTTATGAGTTAGAACCTGAATAAGCATTAAGGTTAAATTATGAAAATGATAACAGTAAAAGCAACCACCAGTTGGAAAGAAGTTATTTTATAGATATTTTTTCTGTTTTGCAAGATTTACAGTAGGCTGAAATACATTTGTGTGTGTGTTGTTTCTGTTTTAACTGGTAATGTGTCATACCATCCTCTTTAGTGCGAACGTAGATCTGTTCACTGCGGACACCATCTCCAGCATTGGTAAAGGCTAAGACTTGGATGCTGTAGTTGGTGTATTTCTCCAAACCGTCCAGCTCCAGAGACGGCTGATTGGTCGTCACATTTCTGATTTCTCCCAGTTCTGACACAGGAGAACGGAAACATTAATAAGCCTGGGCATCAAAACTGGTACACACTACAGGGGTATGGCGCAGCTTAGTGTGATTATTGTGACAATTATTTCAGCATAGAAGTAATTTAAGTCATTAAAATATGTATAAGTATTCATGATGTTGTAGGGAAGAACTTTCCTGTGTAATGAAGGATTTTAAAACAAAAAAACAGGTTAACTTTTCATTTTTACTCTGATTCCTCTCATCTCTCCTCTCTTCTACCCTTCTCTCCCCCTTATGTCCTGTCACTCAGAGCTGAGGCAATGGGCCTCACTGAGTTATTGCATTGTGAATTATTGATGGAGACCAGCCAGACTGCAGGTTGGATCACTGCTATACAGCAGGGTACAGATTCAAGGGAAAAACACAGGAACCACAAATATTCCCTCTGTGCTATGCAGTCTTTGTATTCCCATTGTTGATCGGCATAAGAAAAACATCTCGTCATACTGTATGTGGCACAGATTGTTTGAAAATGTAATGTTTTTGTTCATCAAATCATTACATTTTAAATGTGGATCAATTATTATTATTGTGAGTGCAAATAAGCTGCACTTGCTGAAAAGTACATTTAAAATTAGAAAAATACAAAAATGATAACAGTGTCTCATTAACTTAATGTTGAATGAGTCAAACAGAAGATTAAGTGGTTAATGGGCCACACACACACACACACACACACACACACACACACACACACACACACACACACACACACACACACACATATAAGGAAGCTTGAATTATCTAAGTTACATCACCTCTGCAACTCACAACAGCATATTACAGTATGACAATACGACAGCTTCCCCTGGTGGATGAACCATGACAATATCAAGCAACAGCAATCAAAAACCAACCCAGCATTGATGACAAATCAATGCTGTGAATTAAATAGTTAACTTACATGGCCAGTAAACTGCACTGATCTGTAAATGAAATGGGTATGTTGCTGTTAATACCTCCATCAGGCAGGTTAGCCCAGTAGATGACTCTGTATCCCTGCAGGTTTCCATTGAGAGCCTCTCTGGGCAGAGGCATCCAGGAGAGCGAGATGACCTCTGGGGACTTTGCCACAGCAAGGACGTTTTCAGGAGGCCGAGACGGTACTAAGAGAGACACGCGGAGAGAAAAAGTGTTGCATTGGAAGCTTAATGGAGGCTTATGGAGTGGCAATACTACCAGTGGTGTGCTGGGTAAGTACCCTCATGTAGGCAATTCACTGAGCACCACATAAAAACTAACTGCTGACTCCAAATACATCTGGAAGTCATCTTTGTACCACAGCTAACAAATGAATGAAACAATACCCAAAATTATAATATCCAGAGGAGACACTGGTGAAAAGAGATGTTTGATTCTAAAATAGTTGGATGTTTTATTTCTTGAATATTTCATAAATAATGACAACTGCCTCCTTAAACTCTAGTAATTATTGTGAAAAGATATACTAATGTTATTAAATGCAAAATATTATATATACTAATAGTGTACAGTATGTTAGAAAGATACACATATTAGGTGCTTTTGTTAAGTAGGTAAATTTACTTAGGAGCTTCAGAAATAAGAGGGGACTCTTTATATTTGTAAAACCATTATACATGTCCTCTTTAATCAGGGTAGCACTGAAAAGCAGGCATTTGTTTGTCGGTTATAATTCAACAAATGTCCAGTAGAGGGCAGCCTTTTCATAAGAATATGTTGGAGCCTTTTTCAGAGCCACTGCATCTAACAGGCAAAGGTGTTGCAGAAGGGATGTGTGGTCAAATTTGGTTAAAAACTCAAATAACTCAAAATAACAACTCAAACAGCAAGTAGTCCACAATTAAGGCAACACTAACTTAAAGTAATAACCTTATAATCTGTATACAAGATCCTCAGCATGGGCACATGGACTTAGTAACACATATATAAGACATGAGATCCATCCACACGCCCTCCTTACCATCTTCCAGGGTTTTGGTGACCACCTGCTGTGAAGATGGCCCAGTGCCTGCCCTGTTAGCCGCCTGCACCACCACGCTGTACTGAGTGAACTTCTTCAGGTTGTCCAGCGCGATGCTCTCCGTGGTGTCTCCCGTGGTGTCCACGCTGATGATGGTGAACTGGTGGCTCCCACCAGGGCTGTACTCCCTGTAGCCCACCTGGTAGCCACGGATAACGCCGTTCTGCAGGTGCTTCTGAGGAGGCTGCATGACGAGGTTGTGGGGAGAAAACAGTTAGAAGACTTAACTAATGATGAGCTGCTGTTACTTTTAATTAAACCGACCACTAAACACCAAATTCTAACTTATACTGGAGGCTTATGCAGCTTGAATAGATAAGTTACATGTGAAATATTATTAATTTCATTAATTTATGAATAGTATATGTACAAAAGGTTATAAAAGAAACCATAATTTATAGTTATATAAACTATAAGTTATTGCTGTTACTTCTAATCCCTTTAACCATATAGAGTATTTTCAGCTACTTTATTAATGTTTATTTATTTAAATTTTATTCAGAACTGAATTAGCCTTCACAAACTGGTTGCTATAAGCAAATAAGATAATAAAATAAAAACAAACAGCAATATCTGATGTCATTTGTATTTACTGATCCAGAATGTAGAAACTATTTACACATCCATTTATTACAAAACTGACAAAAAATGTTTCTCTCTGTTTTTTTGGTTGAATTCATAATGATTTAACAGATTATAGAATAATCTACATGTTGGTATATTTCTCTGTGTCTCAACACATAAAAGTTTACCTTCCAGGAAACTCTGATGCTCTGTGGGGAGGTGGGCTCCAAAGTGACATCTTGTGGCGGGCCATCAGGAGCTGTAAATAAAGCACATCATTCAACATAACTGTAACTATGCTGGTGTTTAAATGGAAAAGATTATGATGTGCCATTGAGAGAGCAGCTCCCTTTTCATCCCAATCAATTTCAATAGATGGTGCTGTTGAGTTAAGAATGTATTTTCGTTCAAACACTCTCATTCAAGTGCCTTTCAGTTTCCACCTCAACTTAATTTAAAATAAACTTGTAACACCATCAACTTTAACCTTTAAAATAATGTGAGAAATTGATACATGCTTTATTTAATTTGAAGTTTATGACTTTATTTTAGTAATGAATCCAGTCAAATGGGCCGTTTTAATGTGCTGGTATGCCTGTGGGGGGATCATTATAGGCAATAGAAGATAAGTGAACACCGACAGAGCTGACTAAAAGCAACAGTGAACTGATCTGTTTCCTCAGATATAAAAGATGATGGCCTCCATTTAAAACAACCATAAAATAATTATGTGTAAGATGACTCAACAGGTTTAAGGTCCAGGAGGAAATGGACACTGCAGATGAGGACTTTCATTCCAAACTAGCAGAGTTAAAGGAACATAAATCACGGTGACAGTGTAAAGTTAATAATAGCCGAATTAACACTTTCAAAGAGTGTTTTAATTTATGTTCTGGGAAGAATAATTACAGCTAAACCCTAGTGTTACTACTTACTCTCTTAATATTTTCAGTGTTAAGGTCCCTTTCAGTAATAATGGTATTTTTAAACATATATTTTCATAATTAAATCAAAACTCACACTAGGTAAAACTGTTTAAAATGCATTCAAAATGTCTGTTTTCACAGATCTTGGTATGATGATCATGAGAAGTTCAGTAACCTGCTTCATCGGTAGTGATGGTGAGCTCGTTGCTAGGGTTGCTGTTGCCAATGATGTTCTTGGCGACCATGCGAATGTTGTAAGTGGAGGAAGGATGGAGGTCAATAATAGTGGCCTGGTTGAGCTGCGGTGACACATCTTTGGTTACCTGTGCTGATAGCCATGACGCTAGAAGAAACAGAGGAGGAGGAGGTGAAAACCAGAAATGGCTAGATTTCTCATTTTTTATATGTGGATTTCTTAATTGCTGTATAGCCATGTTTCAGTAATTGTTACAGGAGATTTACATAATGTTACACTGATTTAGTTAAGTTAATTTCTTTAACTTGTGTCTACCTGATTTGTTCTTGCACTCAATATCATATCCTGTGATGGGGCTGTTGCCATCAAAGCCCATGGTCCAGCGGAGAGCTATGGTCCTATCTTTGACCTCCCGGATCTCTACCTCTGGAGGGTCGGGGGGTTCTGAGGAAAAGTGTGAACACAACACAGTGTTACAGCGGTATCCCTGAAATAGAACTGGATGGCAGGAAGACCAGACAGATGAATCGGTTTGAGTCTTGTCTGTGATTTCCCCGGTGAGAGATTATAGTTAGGACTGCAAAGAGCAGGAGTCACACAGTGCAGCAATTAAATTAATAAATGAATGATTTAAGTAATAAATGATGATGGAGGGAATTTTGTCTTCTTCCAAACAGACCCACTGAAGGAAAGCACCTACTGTGAGCTGAACTGAGTTTGAGACGAGGGGGAGCTCACCTTGCACTGTCAGCTGTATGATGCCTCGGTCCTCACCGAAGGAGTTGATGGCATGACAGGAGAAGAAACCTGAGTCCTCACGAACTGTGGGCATAATCTACAGAGACGCACACCATATGCAGGGGAGGGGGGTAGAGAGTGGGACTATCAGCTAGGAATGAAATTACCACTCAACTGCAATATTCTTATCCTTTACTCGAGAGCGGGACAAACCCTTTTCATCTTAACCCATGTAGGATGACTACTAAATCATCTCAAGGCGCGTATTCCTCACAATTTTACATTACTGCATTACACATGTACTCGTTCATACTGTGTTTTAATAACCATTAAATTGAACTGAAAAGGAGCTCTTTAATATTTTATACCCTTCTTGAAGATTTTTAAGATTATGTGAACGTATTTGAGCCAGATTTTTTTTGCCATGCCTTCCCTTCTCTTTCTACCTCTCTGTTTTACATCTGCCTGAATATATTAAACAATGACTAAAGGTTATGTGCTAAATATGTATGTAAATATGAAACTGAGGGCTCACCACCAGCGTAGAGATGACTTCGTCGGCCACCTCTTTGACGGTGACCACGTATCGGCTGGTCTCTGGGTTGATGATGCGCTCTTCCTTCTCCCAGCGCACCATGATGGGTTTCTCCCCATGAGCGATGCAGCTCATCCTCTTCTCCTCACCCTGCGTGGCCAGAGTGGTGTTGGGGTAAGAGGTGATCATAGCTGGAACTGGATGGATGGGACAGATGTTAAGGGGGAGAGTGGAGGAAGAGTGAAAATAGAAATAAAAAAAGACAGTTATATACTGTATATATATATTTTATGCACATTTGCTGTTGAAGATGTTCATAGAGTAGTATCAAACGTCACTGTTTTATAGTATATCTACTCCCAAGCACCACTTTGGAAATAGTTGCTTTGATAGTGCTATGTCTTAATCTTTTGATTTCAATATACAAGAAATCAAATTATATTTTGAAAAACACCGCACATATGTCATCTCTAACTGCGTTTCTTGTCTCATACTGAGAAAACTCCTTTTCTCTGTTTTCTCTGACAATTATGACAACCATTTAAACCCTCCAGGGACCATCATGAACTCATGTTTGAGTCTACCTGTCTCCCACAATACTCTGAGACTGAAATGGAGCCCTTCAGGTAAGTCTGCGCCTGCTTTGATAATGACAGTGAGCGGTAACGTGCTGCTTTCTGAGGATGAGGTGGAGGAACGGAGAAGAAAGTGGTGACTCCTGACTGAACTCCCATCGGTCTGAGCGTGGTGCCGGTCTGGCTCTACGCCGTAACCGCACACCAGGCTCATTAGCAACACGTCTAGCCTGTGTGTGTGTGTGTGTGTGTGTGTGTGTGTGTGTGTGTGTGTGTGTGTGTGTGTCGTTCAACAGAATGAGTATCTGCTGTAAATGTCTCTCACTCTGACTACTCACAGTCTGTACTCATGCTTTCACTTTCTTTCATTCTGTCTTTTTCTCTCTACTTGCATGAAGCCGTCTCACTCAGTGAGACTTTCAGGTGCCATTCACAGTATAATGATCTCTAAAGTGTGAAGCTCCTGAATTGGAATACACCATATTAACTTCTGCAGTTTAAGCAGACTGAATGAATATGTTAATCTCCCTCAGTGTGGACATTATGGATTTCATCCTAATTATTATAGACGTTATAATGCAGGTAAAACAATTCAAAAGATCTGATTACTGCCAGTTATGTGATGGCTTATAAACTTGAGACGATCATCGGTGTTCAACAATCAGGCTCTAAATTGCACAATTTGACAACTTGAATAGCAGTCATTTCAGATGGTCAGAAAAATAAAACACCTGCATATGCAACCAATGTTGAACTACAGTAAAATATTGAGTTGAACATTTTTCAACAAATTCAACAATTTTCCTCTTACAATATAGAATGAGTTTAATTAAACAATGGCCACTATAATAATATTATTTTACTTTTTAAATCATTTAAACCTCATTGCAGGAATATCTTTGTTTGCAGACAACTATCTGAAGACACAACATTAAGGTTGGCACTAACAATTCTTTTTATTATTATCTGTTGTTTTTTACATATTAATCACATAATCGTTTTGTCTATAAAAGAATACAGTGAAAAATGACCATCTCAATTTCCCAGAGCCAAAAGAGACTCTTGTTTTATCTGACCAACAGAGCCAAATATATTACAGTTTACAGTGATTTAACAGTTTTTGCTTAAAGCTACATGAATGTTTTGGCCACTTGGGGGCAGTGGAACCAAGCTACAAGCAAAACACTGGAAATAATCAATAAAGTTGATATAGCTATAAAACATTTTCGCAAACACTAGCTTATTTACACATCCAGCAGTTTTTGGAGCAACATTATGATTCATTCTGAGTCCTGTTTGTATTTGCCTTCACTGTCCTAATGGAAACATTTGTTGCTGCTTCAGCTAAAAATGACGTTGATGAGAGCGGTAAGAGTAAATCAAAACAGTTATGTTGTGGGCGGGAAAATCAAAATAAACTGGAAGACAATTTGAAGGACCAGTGTGTAGGATTTAGTGGCATCTAGCTGTGAAGTTGAATACAGCTTTGTCCATTCTGGGCTGTGGAAAAAGATGGTGGTTGAACATGGCGGACTCTATGGAACTCCTGTTCCCTCTGTAGATATAAACGTCTCATTCTAACACACTAACAACACTTCTTATTTTCACTTGATTTTTTTTTTTTATATGAAAACATCCTATCTGTAAAACATTTATTAACATTACTTTCCACCTCTGTCAATAGATTCTCCTAAATGTTACTCACTGAATTTGGTCCATTGTTGATATAAAAATACAGATTAGAGCAGCTCTAAACAATTTGACAATAGTTTTCCTCGAGTGACTAATCAGTTAATTTATTTTAAAATTAATTTAATTTATTTATGTCTTACATTAGACAGGCCAGTATTTAGTACGTTTATTAGTTTTCCAGCATTTGTAAATTTGTGCTATGGTGAATACTGTATCATTGGAAAGGACAGCAGTGGCAGCTACATGTGGCAGATACCTGTGTAGTAGAGGTTCCAAGAAGAGATGCAATATGTGTGTTGAAGTCAGTGTGTGAATGTCTGTACGCTCCTGAAAAATGTGTCTGTGTGCATGAGTATGAGTGTTATACTGTGCGTGCATATGTATGAATGTGTGTGTATGAGAGCGGCTGTGTCTGGGGGAGCTAAGTGGGCGAGCACAGAGAGCAGAAAAGACTTGTGCTCATGACACATCTCAGCCACACTACACGATGGAGGAGAGAGAGAGCATGTACCCCTGCAGCGCTAACTATGATCCCTCTCCCTCTCCCTCGCTCTCTCACTCCATCTCCCTCCTCAGGCTCCCACCAGGACAGCGATGATTTAATGATGAGAGAGACCACTTTGATTATTCATACGCAGCAGACAAGTCCGCTGGCCGTGCTGTTGTCTCACACAGACACACACGCATTCAAACATATACAGACACGCACGAATAACAGCAGACCCACGCACACACCCATGCACATTCAGAAATACACAAACAAAGACAAATACAGAGATACTGGCCTTGCACGCTTGTACAGTATGCAAGCGTAGACACACTGACAAGATAAAAAAATCATAGGGATGCACATGCACAAACAAATGCAAACCAAAACAGAAGCACTGACACACACAAAGAACCCGAAAACAGTATTGAGAAATAAACACATGCCCCCCCGCCCACACATACAGTATTCCCCTGGGTCAAACAGCTCTTGTAGATAACTTTGTAATCATTTGTTTTGGCTTCATACAGGTGCCAGTCTGGTACAGTTGTGCTTGTACTAGGAGTGCCAGGAAGGTTAGACAATCACATGTCAATTAAAGTACTTGAAATTATAATGAATAATTTATTATACTGTACTTGTGTGAATGGCAACTTGGCTGACGGTGTTTGAATGGATCTCATGTATTAAACCTCAGCCATTCTGTAGCACAACTAGCGACAGATGGTGTCTTGCTGTATTGTTGCTTATTATTCCAGTGGTAGGCCTACCTACTGTATATGTGTATGTTTGTATTGGAGACCGACCAATTTTCTGAATTTTTAAGTCGGATACTGACATCAGTGTTTGAGGGTTTAAGCAAGAGTCTAAAGCTACCCAAGCAGGTCTGTGAGGTTGTATCTAAGTGCAGCTTTCAACTAAATGCTAATGTCAGCTTGCTAACATGCTCACAATTAGCAGGTATAATGTTTACTATGTTCACCATTTTAGTTTAGGGTGTCTGCATGCATACATTTGCTGATTAGCACTAAACACCACATACAGCAACATGTAGGCTAGCTGATGTGAATGTCATTAGTTTATGACCAAATACTTGACAAGTTTTGACCTAGTGATGGTGCTAGATGATCACCTCAAGGTGGCGCTAAAGGAAAAGTTAGGGGATCACCAAAGTCAGTAGGATTCTTCATCTGGGCACCATGGATATCTGTACCAATTTCATGGCTGCCCGTCCAATAACTGCTGAGATATTAAAGTGGTGGACAGATGGACAGACGGACCAACAGTGCCATCCCTGGATCCATGCTAGCAGCTTGTAAGTTCTCTCTAGGGGAAAACTATTTAATGGCAACACATTGTTAAATTACCTCTAACATGAACATTGAAATGTAATAAGCTATAGACAATAATACTGGCCATGCTGCACCAGTTGCTCTCTAATTTATACATGTATACTGTAAAGAGAGTTAACAAGCACATGCACACATACAGTAACCCCAACACAAACAAATCAACAGATACACACACAGACTCCTGCAACATGTTTCTAGTTTTTCTCACAGTACATTTCCTTCTTTGATGCCGCCAACAAAAATCCAAAGGGGGTGCTACTTGTGTGTGTGTTTGTGTGCACATGCGAGGCCTGTGAGCTTGTGCGTGCCTACGTGCACCCTCAACCCTCCACCCACCCCCGACATGATGGAACGTGTCAGACTTGGGACTGCCAACGTTTAAACCTCATCTCTTATTCACTCGCAGCCCCTCCCTCTCCCTCGCTCCCCACACCATCATCCCCTTTCCCACTGCCCCCGCGCAGGAAATCGCTGATTTATTTTGCATAGCAACTATGAATTTTAAGTGAGTCCTATTAAAAGAGTCTTCTCAGCCCCTTCTCTAAATGTTATTGCTCCTTAACAGGGACTATTTTCTCCATCTAAATCTGAGGCCATGGCAGTGTAAGTAGACATCGACGAAGCTCATGTTTGCTCATCGAAAGAGCTCCAGAAAGGGCACACAATGACAGCACACAAAGCTCTGTGTGTGAGTGTATCTGTATGAAATCATGTGTGTATTAGACTATTTGTCATTAATGTTTGTATGTACGATCACATGCTTGCCTGTGTAGGTGTGTGTACAGTATGTTCCTGTATATGAATATGCAATTATGAATACATCAGTGTGCATTTGCAGATGTTTCAATCAGTCTGTGACCTTGTGTTTGTGAATGAAACATGCTAAATGTTCATGTATTCAAGATCGCTACCATGCGATGTGGACTGCAGTATCTAAAATGTTCTACAATCTCTACTGATCTTGGTTGTGCTTCAGTGGCCCAAGATGAGGTGAGCCTACTCACTCGCTTCCTCCTCATCTCATCTCTATGCATCTACTGTGCAGCACTCGCAGGGCCCCGGGCTAAACCTATTCTTTTTGATAGCCCATAATTGCTCGGTTGATGTATATTTTTTAATATCCAGCGATATTACAGGGGCCTGGTAATAAAACACAAGCGGGTAGAGGAGAAAGTGTGAGTGGGAAGAGGGAGACAAGGGAGAAAGAAGAGAGCTGAGGGGGGTAGAGAGGGAGGGAAGGGGGGCAAAGCCAGGAGGTGAGGGAGGTATCGAGGGATAAGATGGGGAAGCGCCATAGTGAGGTGGATCCTTTCTAATCCTTTGACCACGTTTTCAAGTTACTGTCACTGAACAGTATGGAGGAGATTCGAAAATCGTTTGTATAGAAAGTGACACTCCAATTCCCCGAGTAAACTTGAAGATGAAATTAGAGCTAAAAAAATGATTAGTTGATGGTACTAAATAAGTTGAGGAAGAAAAAATGAATTGGTAACTATTTGATAGGCGATTCATCGTGGAAATCCAAAAACAGTAAAGCTATGATTTGGACAACCACTTCTCAGGAGAGGGGTTTAGCCAACGGTCACTTGCGATGTATGATAACAAATTGAATATCTTTGGGTTATGGACAATTGGTCATACAAAACAGGAAGACCATTAATGGATTAATAAAGACAATAATTTAATATTCATTAATTATAGGGCTGACAAGTCCTACGCGAATCCTGCTTGAATTTACAACATGGACATAGAAATAAGGCTAATTAGATTGAGGAACAGATTGTAACTTAGGCCTACTGTATACAGGGCTTTCTGACATACATTAAAAGATCTTTAGTTCTATAAATCGTCAAATACTATTATATAAGCAGAGCAATTCTCTTTACAGGATGAACTATGGTGACATTGTGATTTAGAAAGAGGACTAACAACACATTCACAGAGACACAAGGAGCAACGCAGACTGATGTATAAATGATGTATTAAAATATATGATGTACTAGTCTAATATTCAACTGGGACTAAATTTATGTTGTTAGCAGAGAGATTGAATGAAGCTAAAAAATGATCTGTAAATGGTAAATAAATGTATGCTTTATAGTTGGCAGTGGGGGATTCAGACACTTGGAGGACACACATAGTTACCAGCAAATGAACAAGGGTTTAAATGAGACAAATACTGTGTTATTTATCGTTTTAATCTTTCTCTCATTGGTGGAAATGTAAGAAACAAAGACAGCCAGAGCGTGCAAATAAACCAGAGAAACACACGGACTGCTCTTCCCTTGAGCCCCTTCGTCGGCTTCTAATTGAAGTATTGACGGATTTAAATGAGGCTGAAATGCACTCAAGAGTTCCAGCGTCTTGCAAAACACACACAGACACACACAGACACACACACACACACACACACACACGCACGCACGCACGCACGCACACACACACACACACACACACACACAATTGCATACGCTGCATGCAAGCAGATTTAACACAATGCACCATGAATGACATAAATAAAAACAAATGTGACTGCAAACACACTTGCAGTAAAATACATCTACAGTATGTGTGACAACAATCATACTGTCTAGTTAAAAATGAATAGAAATGTGTAATTGTACACAAACACACACACAAACCCTGAGAAATGGACATGATGGTGCTGATGTATACGAGCACAGTAATGGTCTCCCTTTTTCAAACTACTCATGCGAGTAAGTACACTTTTACAGAAAGCATCTTGAGTGTACGAGTACAGTTTAGGGTTTAAAGGGCATGAAATGTGATCTGTTGATGAGTGACAAGCATGTGCCTGAGCCAGCATGTAATGACCAATGGCAGCAGAGGGAAGGAAAGTACAGAGTATTATCACAGGCCCAAAGAACTTATAGTTGTTCCCCGTAATGTGAATTCTTCTAGCTGTGAAGATGTCAACGTCAATGCTAACTGAATCATAAATGACTTAGAGGTTTTAGATGACACTGCAAGAGAAATGTACTTCAAGAGTAAATGGACAGAGTGTGAAAAAGAATTGTACTCACGTGTGTTTAATTCATATTCAGTGTTACTGATGATGACATATTACAGGCACTGTTACTACGATGTTAGCTGCAGTACGATAGAGTCCTGTAATTTGTTTCAGTTGTGTATTGATAAGTAGGTATGGGCAAAACAGCCAACCAGATACTAATATTGAGGTTTTTGTCATTACTGTATTGAAAAATTACTTATATTACTACTAACTTCTACTTTGCAAAAATAAATTGGTATTGGTAATTTGTAGTTTTTTGCGATTAATGACAAAATGCTGTAGGAAAAGTGAACGAACTCATCGACAACTGTATGTAAATACTGCATGTTTGAGAAATAGTAAAAGTTATAGTGAAAAGTTTCAGAGCAGGTGTTTTTCAAACAACCACAAATATCTGCAACCAAAGCTCAGGAAAATAAATAACATAAATAATTCTAAATTTAGCACCAAATTTAATCAGATTAATAAGTTGATATTTAGATATGAATTATTGTAATTGTACAATGTTATATTTTCTGGAAGGACTGGAGGCTCTGTGCACGTGTCAGAATTGTTCAATAGTTGAAGATCAAAAATAAATGTTTTTAATGGTTTAATGTGATTTATTATAGCAGTAATAACATACACTGTATGCAGTTAATGTGTATATAACACATAAAGGAACAATTAACTGACCCTACTTTGCTTACTATATATACAACCATGTTCAACGTGTGGTAAGATTTTTTAAAAACTTGAATGAAATTACTAAAAATAAATGCAAATTCATCTGAAAGAGACTAACTTGTCTTTCATATAAATAATAAAAACTGTAAATAATGTTACCATCACTGCTCATGTTAATGGAGCTACTAGTTATGAGAAGTCTACATTATTTAGAACTAAAGCTGTCAAAATTCCCTTTGATAGAGCCGTGTACAGCGTGAAACCGAAGCCTTGAGCAACAGCAGAGTGTGTTCGGTGGGTCAACCCTCTCTCTCTCTCTCTCACACACACACACACACACACACACACACACACACACACTCTCTCTTTCTCTACTCTACTATGGTAGATTATACAACTGACTACAAAGACCAGTGAAACTGAAACCATGCCTGCCATCTCAGTTTACTTCTCACCCGCCCTCAAGATGCACACAAAACAAAACTATTTACACATAAACCACTGCTCTTTCTAGTATGTCTGTCCTATATAGGTATTTTGTACACTCTCACTCACACACACACACACACACACACACACACACACACACAGTCCAATGGCAGAGGAGGTCTCAGTAAGGTGGAGCAGTGTGATTTGTGTCAAGGCAATAGAGCAGAGTGAGGAAAAAACACTTGAAAATTCATCTAATCTTTTGCTGCTGCATATTTTTTCAGTTGTCACAGAAAGATGACCTCAAAAAGTGACTGAAAGACCTCCTGGACCAAAAACAACAAACGTCAGAGAGGAGAGAAAAGAGGGAGATGTGTGCAGCTGATTGGATTACTGATCTATATCATATCACTCTAACCTGTTTATGGTTTATTGGTATAATGGAGTCCAGCTGATACAGTACAGGCCTATCATGAACAAATGCAGTTCAGATTTATTAGATGTGTTTTTCAGTTATATAAGACCTTGTTTGCTTAAGTTAAAATAAACACAAAAAGTCTTAAAAAAATCTATGTTTAGTGTTTGGAGTTAGATGTGCTACTGAGAGTTGAGTCTAGCTGCTGCCACAGTGTTTGCTCTCTGCTTGGTAGAAAATGGAAGGAAAAAAAGGTTAGTACAGCCATAGGTCAACTTGCTGCATAGCAACTGGGTGCTACAGTCAGCATACTGACCTATGAAAACACAGAGAGCATGTTCATCTCTGAGCCTGCTGCTGCAGCACTGACAGCTTCACGCAGTGGCAGCTCTTGTACACTGCGAGGCTTAATTACAGTGACACATGAATATCCACGACATGCCAGCTGATATTAATGATAACAAGTACTGATTTATCCAGAAGGAGAGTTCTACACATATCATTTTTTGTCTTCCCTTTGTACAGAGGTCAGAGGTCAGGGACAGTTAAACCTTCCATACCATTGGACTAATAACAGTACTCATGTTTTTCATATTTGTGTTCTACATATCAGGCTTTGGGCTGTTGAGGAGAGAGTTTGGTAACATTAGCACGGCGCCAATTCGCATCTAAGCACCATGAAAATGAGGAGCCACTCCTAGCGCTATAGGGGAGCTACATGCTAATGCTCACTAGAGGTGGGAGACCTTGTAGTTGGGGACATTAACATGCCGACCACTGGAGAGAGCAGTGAGAACACTCACATACTCACACATAAACACAAACATGCTTATACTCAATAACTCATGGTATTATTACGAGCATGGACATCAGCCTCCACTATTTCAACAAATGTACTGAATTGTCATCTTCCCTAGTCCGTCTCATGACAGGATAATGACCCCATAAATTCTTTGATAATCTTCTAAAATGTTTTTTATTTAGCTGAAACTCATCTCAAGCTATTTCTGCAAGTGATGTGTTGCTTTGGATGGATTATGACAAGAATCTTTCTCGCAGTTTGCTATTGAATCTGGTAATGTGGCATCTTGTATCCTCCATGTTCTACAAAATTAATGTCTGACCTATCAACTTTAAGAGGAGCTATCTGTAAAATCCTGTAGCTGGGAAGCTTCTTTTTTTTTCCTGAGTGCTTGTCACTGCACCAACCCAGACATCAAAATACACAATGATTACTGCCCATCAGCTGTTATTGATCGCACATCAGACGCAGGCCCTTACTTTTGACGGTGAGGTACATGGACTTGCTGACATCAGCTCCCACGTCGTTGCTGACCTTACACAGGTAGAAGCCGCTGTCGTCCTCCAGCACGTGTTTGATTAGCAGCGAACCGTTGCTCAGCAGCTGGACACGAGAGCCGCTGTTCAGTGGGATGGGCTGAAACTGGGGGACGCCAGCACCTGGCACACGTAGGAAGAGAAAAGACAGAAAGGACAGAAAGAGAGACAGAAAAAACACTGTAAATGAGAAAACAAACATTTAAATATCCAACTCTTAATAGAGTTCATACATTATGTATAAATGTAGACACAGGCCAATAAATTAATATGTGATTTTCAGTAGAGATCTATAATGCAAATACAGCACTTAACAGTAAGCTGACCTCCAGTGTGTGTGTGTGTGTGTGTGTGTGTTTATATATTTGTGTGTGCGCATTAATTTGACCATGCGTCTGTGTTTACAGATTTGATGACAAAGCCTGTCAGATTTAGGGAGGATTGTAAACATGTTTCTTAACACCAGGCCTAAATCCTTAAACCACCAAACAGCTGCTGAGCACAGTGAAGCAGGCCGAGCTGCTAGTGTGATGCAATCACAACAGACATAATGCTCATGTTTAACAAGACAGCAGATTGGTGCAGAGGAACAACAGGCAGAAGGAGAGCAGGGAGGCTTTGCATTGCTGCCGGCCTTCAACACTGAGATTCAAAGATGTTAACTGCAGCTAGACATGGATTTTTTTTGGACTATTTATTCCTGTGTGTCGACTCTCACATCTGAATTTTCGCATACGTGTTTGTTGTTTTAAAGCAACAACCACATACAGTAAATTGTCTGGTTTGAGAACAAGTAGAGTAATGCTTTGCGCATGTCTTTTCTCAACTCTCAACAGCCCAGTACGACTGACATTTGATATCCATCACTGAAGCATTGTTGAAATAATTGGACTTGGCATCTTTGACATATTCTGGCCTGCTGCCTGCGTTGTAATTAATACCTATCTGTTTTAATAGAAAATGATATAATCACTCTTGTTCTATTGTCAAACAATATAGTATCTCATTCTGCAATGGCAGCCTTAAATCTGTATGTCACTGACACTGAATTATAAGGCTTTAGAGCGGCCTGCTTTTATCGTGATGAAAGCACTGTACTCCACCTTGCTCATGTAGTATTAAACACATGTGTGAACTGAGCCAGACGTTGCATTAGCTCGTGTTTAAGTTAGCGTGTAGAGATTAGGCTATTTAGCGAGCTGTGGGTTTTTGCTTTTTAATTAAAATGCAGTCAAGTGGCCGAGGCTAGCAAAGGGTCAAGTGGTGACTTTGTTCCTGCTCCCGTGGCTCGGAGAGAGAGAGAGAGAGAGAGAGAGAGAGAGAGAGAGAAAAGACGGAGAGCGGGAGAGGGAGGAAGATGTGTTCTTCCTTGAATTATGGATTTTGCATATCCAAATGGTGCTGGTCGTTATGCTAATAGCAGTTGACCTTTACTTACTGTTCCATATCTCCCAGAGACACTCATCTAGCTCTTAGCTACTTCTGTTGCAGTAAAAGCATGCCAGACAGCCATTCTCGGGACAAACTGCACTCTGGCTTACAACAAATTAGAAGATAGCTTCCCAAGCCACCTACCCTGGATACATTTTTGGAGGTGATTTTTTAATGCCTTTTTGCTCTGACTGATATCCTGTGCAGCACATTACAGAGCAACAGAAAATATATAAAAAATAGGAGTTAAAATATGTGAGGAAGGTCCCAAAGAAAACAAAAACGAGCTGCCGTCTGGCCAACTTCCCTCTGGATAGGTAATGATTATTTTTAACGCTACGATTGAGTAAACACACACACACACACACACACACACACACACACACACACACACACACACACACACACACACACACACACACTGCTCAGTCTGATCTCTCTGTACTGATCAGGACTGGTCAGACATCACTAATCAGGCATGAGGCCTGCTTGTCTCACTGCACACACACACACACACACACACACACACACACACACACACACACACACACACACACACACACACACACACACACACACGCATGTCCGCACACACAAATCCAATCAAAGGGTGCAAAACAGATCTGATTCTTTCATTCCTTTGATCATGGGGCCTAGCGCACACACACGCACACCTTCACAAACACACACACACACACACACAACACACACACACACACACACACACACACACACACACACACACACACACACACACACACACACACACACACACGCCACTCCTCATTGGTTGTTGTCCTTCTGTTGGTGAAGCTTTCATCCCTGGTTATATGGATGATGGAGCAAACACCTGGGGCCCCTCTTCATCTGCCCTGCTCAAGTGGCTGAACTCACCTGCTGCCTCCCTGCCTGTCTGTCTGCTAATGCTCTAGCCTCTGTATATCTGTCTGTCAGTCTTTGTCTGTCTCTCTCTGATGATTCTCTAATGATGCAGGTGGAGATCCTGCAAGCCTCCAGCCTATGTTTACAGTGCAGATTGTCTGTGTGTTTGTGTGTATGTGTGTGTGTGTGTGTGTGTGTGTGTGTGTTTTGTGTGTGTGTGTGTGTGTGTGTGTGTGTGTGTGTGTGTGTGTGTCTGTGCACTCACACACACTTATGCACCGGCTATGGATGAAGCAAATGGAACCCACTCACCTGCAAAAACACTACTACTGTCGTACCAGCTGTGGACAGCACTCACCTTCATACACTGTTGCTTTAAGAAACACAACCTGACACCATGAAGTGGTTCAGCCAGCTACACAAAAAGTGTACTGTTGTTGTAAAAATGATCATTACAATCTAGTATTACAATAAACAAATATCCTTTTCATCATACTGATTAAAAAATGGATGAATATTCAGAGTGGACTAGAAACTGAAGGCTGCAACCTTCAATAACTGCACTTCAATAGGTAAATGCAGTGAACTTGAATCCATATTACTTTCTGTTTGTGTACTGCATGTGTTTGTTGTTGCAGTGAGTTGTTGTCTATGTTTCCTTTGGGTAAGCACTGGTCATTTAGCAAAAAAAAAACTGTACTCCTAATGCTGTGTTCATATGGGATGGACAGTAGAGATAGGTAGTGTTCAGGACAGTGAAGTGACTGCAGTTTGTTTTGTGGGGGTAAAACATAGTGTAAATTGTATCACTATATCCATTAAATGTGGATTTAATTACCTTGAATGATGGACTTGAGACATCCGTGTTTGAGTCTTTTACAGGCACGTCATATATTACACACCGAGTCTGATATAGCACAGCTTTCAGAAAATATTAATAATCATGAATTAGATGTTGACATCAACGCTATTGCAGAGCATCCTGTAGACTAAAAGTCTGCTTTGTTATTCTGTAAGCTAGAATTCAAAAGTGTGATTTGTTTTCCCTCATAGCTGGCAGGTTGACTTGCAGTGGTTAATGTGTGCTGTATTTAATGTACCTTTGGAGTGTTCCCATACAATGGTGGGTGGTGGGTAGCCTTCAGCTGAGCAGTTCAGAGTCACAGTTTTCCCATAGATCCCATCTTGATCCTCAGGCTGAACCACAAACTGAGGAGGAACTGTACATGCACATAAACACAAGTAACAGTTAACACTGATACATGACATTTCCTGGTGTCTTTATTATACTGTAGCTTGTGTAAGCAGCTTTTCATACCAGTTTACCTTCAGCCAGACAGGAGGAACTAATAATTGAAGTTTGGTCCTGCGGGGATTGCTTAAAATGAAAACTTGCACACATGCTACAGATTATAGTAGTCCACTAGGTGCCATTAGATATATAATCTTTTCCTTTGTGCTCTCTCACCTCTCACAATGAGCTGACTCTGGTGCTCCACGGCAGCAGCCTCGTTGCGGGCGATGCAAGTGTAGTTGCCGTTGTGGTCGGGCGTCAGGTTGGAGATTCGCAGTGAGCTGGTGAAGTCAATGTTGTCCACAGTCACACCCAGGCTGATGGGGATTGGTCGTCCATCTTTCTGCCAGGTGATGTCCAGTGGCCGGTCGCCTGACATGACAACACAGGGGATGAAGACACGCTGGCCGATGGTGAAACGCTGGAACTCAAAGGGCTGAATGTAGGGAGGGACTGCAGATAGAGGAGGAAAAAGACAGACAGAGACACAAAGATCAAATGTGATTTCAGCCGTGAGTTTCAAAGACCATCTTAATTCCCTGGATTCTGTGGCAGGCACTGTGTCCTTTACTCAGAGTAATCCTACAATCTTCTAACTATCTTGCTTTAAAGAGGTCACTGAAGGAACATAAAAGACCTGAATAGAAAAGCATTCTGCAATAATTCCCCGTCATTCTCAGACTGGAACATTTTGTCCTTTCAGCACAAGAAGCTACAAGAGCACATAGAAACAGAACAAAAAAATAACTTTAAGATGACTCATTCAGGTTGTTTGGGAACAGAAGTCTATGCAACCCAGAACTTTTTCTGTCAATAATCTATTGATCTACTAACCTACATACTTACCTATCTTCCAGTCTGGCTGCTACATCAATCTACTATTTTATCCCCCGATCTACAACCCTGATTACAAAAATAGTTAATATCCAGAAAAAAAAAAACAGGTGTTAAAAGTAAATCTGGCTGTTTAATATAACGGCACAGTTATACAATACGATCTATTCAAATCGCTCTACAAATCTCCAGCCACCACACAAGTCATCAGTGTTTGAGTGTCCAGTGAGTTCCAATAACACTGAAATAAGAAGCACTTTAGCACCTTACTTAATTCACAACAAAGTGGAGATAATGGACTCCAGGGATCCCCAAAGACACTTCCGCATTTTAAGCATGAGCAGAGTAAATTAACAAATGCACTCGCTCACTATAGCACCACTGGGAAGTGTTGCTTTATATCATCGCTCTCTCTTTAGTCCTCACTCTCTCTCTCCCTCCGTTTTCCTCGCTCCATTGGAAAGTGTATTATAGTGACAACAACCTAACATACTGTACAGAGGGAAATGGGGAAATGGGGCATAATGGGGAAGCCCTTTTTAGCATTACCTATTACAGTTGTAAGATCTCAGTGGAGATCAATCACTCAGCTCTGTAATATCAGTGGCACTGATACAGTCTTCATTAGATACCCTGATGTACTGAGGAATATCAGGTAGATTTATTTAGAAGTCTGGTGAGATGCTATATGATATAGCTGTCTGCCTTTCTATGTGAGTGGGTCTGTTTATTTATCAAGTGAGGCAATTTTTAGATGCACATGTATACTAAGTAACTCAGAATGTGCCTTACGTTTCCAATTTAAACTAAATCTATCAAATTCAGCTTTATAATAACGCAATATATGGGACTTTTGGCATGAAAGTGAGTGAAAATGAGTTATAACATAAAGTCAAAATTGTGACAGTAAAGGTAATAGTTATAAATAAGCGCTTTCTTGACAAAGGCTGTATGAGAAGATCAATACCACTCTTTTGATTAGCTTAGCTTAGTATTGGAGACTAGAAACAAAGGGAAACAGCTAGCCTGGCTCAGTATTAAGACATTTGTTTGTTTAATTCATCACCATCATTAGGCAACCAGCTCAAGAAAGTTACCTGGGCCAGAAAATAGTCACACACTTAACCCCTCCATAAAACCACATTTTACACAGATTCTTTTTTTATGGATTAAACCAATGAAATATAAAATATTAGTTGGTGAGCTTTAGAGGTGCTGGTAGGCAGACTTTGCTACCTCTGAATGGAGCCAGACTAGCTGTTTTACCCTGTTTTCAGTCTTTATGATAAGCTAAGCTAAAGGGCGGCCTCTGTAGCCTTATATTTAAAAGGAAGATACGATTTTGTAATCTAACTCTTATGATGACAAAAAATTGTTTGGTTGACAACCAAATATTCATCTGTTGTAGTATATTACTAATAAAAAATTGTATATGAAAATAAATGTTTTGTTGAAACCATTTCCTGCGTAGTTTTATGGTTTAATGCTCAAGATGCACTGCAATCTAAATAAAACTACAATAACATCTTAACGTTGAGCAGCAACCAGACTTTGTCCACTCAACTCACCTCTCACACGAACATGGACACTCTGGGAGTCCATCTTGTTGGGTTGGACCATCACCTTGCAGTTATACTCGCCAGCGTCCACCTGCTGCACATTGGTTAGCTTCAGTGTGCCATTGTTCTCAAATGCTCGCTGTCGGTGATTAAATGGTAGCAGTGCCGAGTTTTTGTACCACTTTATGGAGTAGTAAGGGTAGCCAATCACACGACAGTGAACGAAAGCATCCCGACCAGCAATTGCTGTGATGTTTTTCATTGGGCGAATGCTGGCGCGGCCTAAAGAGGGACAGAGAATGAGAAAGAACCCTCTATAAAGACATTCAATGGGTAGTGTTATTGACATCAAATCACAGGGGTAGTGAAGTTTGCATTATTTTTGGTGTTTTTGTAACTAAAATAAAATTCCAGATTTAGCCAAGGAATGGTTGCTCTCTGCACATATGGTACTTAACATCAAATTACTTTGCTAAGGAATTGTTGTTTAAATATTTTACTTGTTTGTTTTACCACAGAATTTTAGGCTTAACTACAAGTGGGAGGCAGTGAACTGACAAGCAGATTAAAGTGTGCTAACCATCTGAAGGAAAACAGATCATTTAAATAACAGTGTATTACTGATACTTATAACTCTGCTCTTGCTGCTCACCCACATAACAGTAATACATTCTGTGTCTCATAAAAAGGAAACAGAGTAATCGCTTTAAGATCTGATCGTGAAGAGCTGAATTGGCTTCTTGAGTAAATACACGCAGACACAGACACACATGAACACTCACACGCACACACAAGCAATCCACAGATAAATTTATTCATGCAAACAGAAGAAATATATTTTTCTTCTGGCTATTTACAAACCAGCCCATTTTGGAACCCAATATCCAGATACGCTTATGTGCAGCAAACCAGGATAATTCATTTGACCTAAAAATACAGGCATGTAGGAAAAGCACAGTAATAATTTGGAGAGAAAAAGAGGAGGCTACAATATTAAAAATTATAAAAGGAGCAGAGAAAAAGAAAAGAACACATAAAATAAACCCCAAAAAATCAATCAGTGGAGAAAAACCTAAAACGAAATGTAAATGTGATTAAAGATTTAATACTAGAACTAAAAAATACTGAGCATAGAAAGAAGGAAAAAAGTAACAAATCATCATAAGAGCAAACATAAAAAGCAGAGAAACAAAGAAAATCCTAAAATAAAAGTTTCTGACCCAAACAACAACCAGCGCTCATGTGCAGCAAATGCCAGACAGCCAGCTGGACAGAGAGACAGAGACAGACATACAGCGAGACAGACAGGTATGTGTATTGTTGTTCTTGGAGGAGCTGATTTGACAAGCACCTCTTACGTTTATTCGAGCCTGGTGGTACACGACCCCGGCCGAGTTGCTGCACGTGCACCGGTACACCCCGCCGTCCTGCACCTGGGTGTGTGTGACGTTGAGCTGGCTGACCACGTGGCCCTCGTGGGTCTCGTAGTGGCCCAGGTGGTGGTGGCTGTCCTTGATGACGGGGTCGTCGTCCAGCGACCAGGTGCATCGGGGAGGGGGCGTGCCCTTGACGTTGCAGACCAGGAAGACGGGCTCGTTCGGGTTCACCACCTTCTCGCTGAAAGAGGACAGGATCTTTGGAGTACCATCTGTGTTGGGGTGTGAGGAGGAACAGGGTAGGGGAGAAGAATCAGCATCGTGAGCATGACAATGTTTCAGAAAAGCGCTGATTTACAGTAAGTTTTAAAGTTAACCAGGTATATTGGTACGTTTCGACCATACTTGCTGGCTGAGCGTCGACCAACCAAGGCTGACAACATCTTTATGTACACTGAATGGCAGAATGATTGACTTTGTTATTAATATGACTGTGAAAGCCTATTTAATTCATCTTTGGCAGTTAGGGATGTGTGAACATGTTGACTAATTGTTGGTTTATCAGTCACAGAAAGTGTGGGTGAGCAGAGAGAGAAAACCTGGACCTAAAACAATTCCCAGTCAGAAAACAACAAGGGGTAGTGTCATCTCCAGAAGATGATTGCTGAGGATTTCCCATCTATTATTAGAGCTAAATAAAAAATCATCTGAGTAAACAACAAATTGACTTAAATTTCACAATACGAAGCCAGTGAATTGTTTTACTTTGACCTAGCAACACCCTGTCAGTTGACCTCACTGTCTTCGTTCTGGTTTCTTTTCATCAAATTGTTGGAGGACATACATTTACATTTATTAATTTGACTTCATGTCCAAAATGAGTTCTCGCTGCAAATAAAAAGAATGTAAATAAAAATGTGCAACATAAAAATATTCCTGAAGCAGATTTTTCATTAATGTGTTACTGCATTATGTTGCACGTATAAATCACTTAAAGTGTATACTATTCAAGGCCATTAAAACTGTGGTCAGATCACAAAGCGTCAAAATTGTTATTTTCTTATCAGTTTAAACACTCCTGTTCTGGACACCGGGGTTAGTGAGTGTTTGAGAGAGGATGTGTTATTTGCTGCCAGAGGTGAATCTTTGTCATAAAAACACTTTTTTGTGAGATAATAATAAGGCAGCAAAAGGAAAGTAGAAATCGTGACTTTTTGTCATTGCTTTTTGTCAAGACTTCCGCATCCTGTGCCTTTCAATATGAACAGTGATCCAGGAGCTTTCCTCCCAGACACAGAGAGCAGTTGGCTTTTGAAATGTCTATGTCTGCCTGCTGCTGCTTTCTGATAATCTAGATCTGTTCCACATGATTATAGATTATCAATATCTTCTTTTTACAGCTCCCCGGCCACAGGAGACAGTTGCCTGAGCAACGCTGCCAAGGTAAGCTATTGGATTCAAGAGTGTGTGTGTGCGTGTGTATTTTTGTATGTGTTTGTGAAGTCTGGGATGATCATTCTAATGGTGGCCTTATAGCAGAGAGTCACAGCAGGATGCCATTAACACATAAACCCTGTATTGATCTCCAAGGCCTGAATCTGCTTCTGCTAACTTACTGATTATGCATAGGACAGCTGCTACACTGTGGCTCTTGGTCAGCATTAGTGAGCGTGCTGCATCCTACAAATCACATGCACACATTTTACCTTCGAGGATGACTTGCACAAAGTCCTGTGCGGACATCTTGCCCTTCCTGGCGAAGCACTGGTAGGCTCCGCCGTCACTCTTCGACATTCCCTCCATGATGAGGTTCTCCCGGTTGAGCCCGGTGAAACGGACATTGTTGCCGGGGTAGATGATCTCTCCATTGCGGTACCACGACAGCTCGTACTCGTCTGAGCCGCTCACGCTACAAGACAGAGACACCTTGCTACCCACACTGCCTTTCACCTTCCGAGGGCTGACCACTGCCTTCAAGGGCTCTAAGCACACAGAAATGAGAGAAATGTTTTTAAAGGAGCATTCACAGATTTTAGTTTTGTTTAATGACAATAAGGCTGATAGGAAGACAGAGTTAGGGAGATGGTGGAGAGAGTTCAAGTGGGATTTGAGCAGCATGGCTACATAAGATGAGAGGTAAATGTTGTAACCACTATTTCCGGATTAGAGCTTAAACAATTAGTCGATTAATTGAGTAGTTAGTAAACAAAAAAATAGGCATTAGTTCTGATTTTTTTATTTATTCTCTTCTTATTCTCCTATTAAGGGAGATTTAATATCTTTGGGTTTTGAACTGTTGGTAGGACAAAACAACCAATATGATATCACCTTGGACTCCACTATTTTCTGACATAGTTTTTGATTGTATTTGTTTTTCTAAACTAAGGCAGACTTGATTTGACATTAATCTTTATGTGGCTCTGATTCCCTCCAGTAAACTGCAACATGAGCAAACTACAGACCTAAAATATATTATAAACTAACATGTTTGTGGCAGTTATTTGTTTGAGTTCCTGCTTTGAGGCAAAAAGAAGATATCACGTAGAGGTTTTGCTAAATGTGACGGTTGGTGAATTTTACATCTGCATGTAGATGTACACAATGTCGCCAACAGCTACACATTATCAAACCGTTTCATAATCTTTGGTTGCCTCAGGAGATGTTTTTCTGCTAAATCTGTTGCTTACTTTAGTTGATATGTCTTGATCCACGTTTTCCATATAAAATTATGCAAGTCACCAACAGCAACATTACGATCACGATTTCATACTTCAACAGAGTTTTAACGTAATCTTTTACATATAAACAACCATGTAACACTGAGTGTGTATTGCACACTTAGATAGATTGGTGCTTTAGTTCTTCGATTTTAATTTGAACCATTTTCTGCTTGCTTTGTCCATCAAAAACAATTTTTTATTTTTATTTTCAGGTAAGTTGAATTTGTTGTATAATTGATACACTCCCAGCGTTAAAGTTCCCAAAGCCCAAGGTGACATCTTCAAATCCCAAACCTGCCCAAACTTATATGAAGAGAGAGAAGCAGCAAACTGATAATGAAAGCTATTCTCGATTAGTTTTGTTGATCAACTAATAAATTAATCAACCAATTGTTTCAGCTCTAGTTTATATAGTTTAATGTGAATGACCAATGTGCAGATGATACAGAGGATCCCCTCCTTTTAATAAAAGACTTACGTTTGACATACAGACGCCCCATGACCTCAGCATTGCCATAACTGTTCCACACCTCACAGACATACGTCCCGGAGTCACTCGGCTGTGCACTCTCTATCAGCAACCCTGTGATAGTCTGGCGGAAGCGACTGTCAGGCTCCAGAGGGCTGTTGTCCTTCAGCCAGCGGTATTTGGGTGGTGGGTAGCCTGAAGCCTTACAGGGCAGCTCCACCTGATGATTAATCATCACCTCTCGGTGGTCAAAGCCATCCGAGATGCCTGGCTCAGCATTGGTGGGGTCTGGAAGGAGCAGAGAATTTAGTGTTAATTAGTGGTGAGCGTTGCCAGGCACTTGACAGTATAATCCAATATTGATTCTTGGGGTCAAGATTCGGTTCTATATACTGTATATTCTGTTACGTGAGGGAGAGAAGAGAGAAACAGTGTGTTCCTAAAATTTCTGGAGGAGATTTTATTGTTCTCTACAGGCACTGGGGATTGCTCCTTTTCTTTCCCTTCATTTCTCCATCTACATGTTAAATGCAGTGGAAAAAATGACCCTCATTTATCAAACTACAATATACAACACAAACTACACTACAGTACAGCCTACATTGCCCAGTTTGTTTACTTGTTACTGAGGGCTGCATAATTCATAGCTGGCCTTAGAGTGGATTGATCTGACAGGATTGGACAGACATACCCATTCATTGGTCCTGCTATACAATTCTGCAAATCAATCAACATTTCTGAGAAGGACCAATAATTCATAGGGAATAACATTTTTATGAGGGAAATATTTTTCGCTGTCTGCAGTTTTAAATGCCAAATGCCAAAGTTAAAAGTGTAAGTAAGGTTGGAATTCTCTACAGTAAGTATCCAATACAACATCTACATGTATTTTCCTCCTTTTTTTCCACCTATGTCAGTACATATATTGCAAACTCTGTAAGTGGCGACTTAGACAAATGTATGGTCTTTGCAATTAAATTGATTCCAGTTTGAACGCAGTACTGACCTGACACAATGAGACGCGCGCTGTTGCTCTGACGAGTCTCACCAGTGTAGCGGTGCCGTGTGGTGCAGCGATAGTTATTCAGCCCATCCTCAGGCAGGACGTCCAGAATATACAAGGCTCCCGTGGATGTGATGAGATATCTTTGTCCTGGAAAAGATGAAAAAGAGCGAGTGGAAAAACATGAAAGGCGGTAGTTGTGTGGTTGTTATATAGAATCAAAACAACTTTTATACTGTAAAGAATTTATTTACTCCGCCACGACTAGAGGATTTTTTCTCCATAGGGTGTTTGTAGAGTGCAAATCTGTAGAAGTTTGAATCTCTCAGCACACAAAACCTTTAGAAGTTATTCTTTATTTCTACATTTTATAAGAGAGTTTACTGGAAAAAAAGTGAAAAAGAAATAATTTATCTCATGTAAATAAACAATAACTACAAGAGTGTGTGGTGAACTTCTACAGCTAAACTCCCCAGTATTTACATTAATACTGAAAATTACAGATAGTGGAACACAAAATGAAACCATATATTTAAAAAATGCACCAATTGTATTCATTAAATGCATATCAAATCTTTGACCTCTAACAGCCTTTATTATTGTCTTGTCTTTGACTCCTGCTGTTGCAGTAACCTCACTGGCGCCAATGTCTGGTATAGAAAGCCAATCCCTCTTTGGCTGTCACAGCCAGTTCAGTATGTACGGTAATATTATGTTAATTCTGCAGATCAAACCAGGCTGAGTGGGGTTGTCAACATCCATAAGGAAAGAAACGTTCCTCTCTGCCATCACATGAATGCCCACATTCCCATGGGAGCAGATTGATGTCAAAACTGATCGAAAAAGCAATTTACAGGAGATTGTCTTCACTGCACAGTGGTGGGCATGCTAAGACAGAGGCAGCTTAGGAAGCCTTTAAGGCCTGAGGAGAAACAGCCCTGCAACAGCTACAGGTAATGTGGATCCAGAACAACAATATTGTACAGTGACATCACAGGGTTGAAGAAAATACTGCAGTACACATTGAATCGAAGGTCTTCTTACTGTAGCATTTCTGCCTGCTGATTTTGTCAACGTTTCCTAACATTTGTCATCATTTCACACTACAAACATATTACTATCTGTAAATCACCTGCTCACTAAACTAATAAAAGATGCAAAAAACCAGAAGACTTGGATGTGACAATACAGTTTGTAAATTGACAGGTTTAATGAGGGATTATTTCCTGGAGCAGGGTTTCTATTTCTTCCTGTGTGTGTCATTTGATTGATAGTTAGCAGAGCGTAACATAATGTGCACATTCATATGAAAACTTGGCACTATGAAATAACGATTAACAGGGAAACTTAGACAAAAACAAATTAAGGCTTTGTGTTTACTGTGATGGATTATCAAGCTCAGGCAATTGATGTCTGTGGAAGATGTTTTTCATAATATACCAGAATGAATGGCAGCAAATAGCTTCCTGTGAAGGTCTAGAAATATACCTGTACATCTAACTGCTTTTGCACTGTGTACAGATACCTCATAAGGAACATCAAGAAAATGAGAAACTAAGATAAAATATATTAAAGTCTTCAAAAAATATATAAAATATATATAGTCTTGGGTGACTCTGATTAAGGTTACAGCCATTATTGTTTAGGAAATCCTGACTGCTTAGATTAGCAGAAATTCTCTCTGCATATTTGATTTTGATTGCACCCCATGTCTTAAGGCAGTCATATCAGCAATTTATACAAAAGTAGAACAAACTGGGGCTGTGTGGGAGCCTGCTAAAGCAGATTAGCAGTTGGTAATTCGTTTAAGTTGAACAAGGGGAGCTGTGGGCTCTCTTGTGATTTCTCTCTAAAATAGAGAGTTAACATGTATGATGTGTTTTTAGATATATGATACAAGGGGGGAGCCTGTCAAACTGAAGCAAAAAATTAGAGGTTCTGAAGTGATAAATTCCACACATTTCGGCTTATTTACTGCCGTAGTTTTAAAATGTATTGCTGTTTTTAGTGAAAATGGCCTTTCAAATAGACATTTCAAGATCTTATGAAAAATGCATGGACGAGCAGGTGCAAAGGTTTCTTTTTTTCTGTGTGGGTTAGCAAATTAGATGCAACCTCCCTTAGGTCACGTAACATCTTACCCTATAGATCAGAACGAAAACAACTGTATGTCACATTTTAATTGCAGTGTTTCTTCTACATTTCATGCTGCAGTGCTGTGTTGAGTTACAGTGTTACTAGACAGAACTGTTTGAATAACGGCACAGTCCAAATTAATTTGCTGAACAAATATTAATGAGAAATAAACTAAATGTAATTTTCTTCACACATTAGATTCTACACTAATGTTAACATCAAACTCACTACATGTTTTAATATTCCTCTTGAGACTAATATGTATGAAAGACGCAAAGCATGCTTAATATGCTTACATTTTATATGCATTTTTGATGTTTATACATGCAAAGGAAAATCAACCTTGTGGGGTTAAGCAAACAGGGGGATACAGAGAGAGGCGGGAGGAAAAGAAAATATTGCACAGCTATTGTAAGCATTGACCTAGATAGAACCGACAATAGATTCCACGGATCTGATGTCCTGAAGGGGTTTCACTGGTTTACATACAGGGCTGTTAGATGGGCAACCAGCAAGTGGAATCTATAAAGAGAGGGAGGGAGGGTGTGACAGTGTAGTGTGTGTGTGTGTGTGTGTGTGTGTGTGTGTGTGTGTGTGTGTGTGTGTGTGTGTGTGTGTGTGTGTGTGAACATGTATGTGTGTGTGCAGATGCCGGCAGCCATGCATACATGCCAGTATGCGAGACGATTGGTGGGAGGAAATTTTCTCAGAGGTTGAGAAGGCCAGATTCACAAAATAAAAACAAGCTTTACTGTTTATGATCATCACCTTTGCTTTATAACTACATCTTAACTGGTTTTGTGCAAAGCAGGAGGAGAGGTCATTTTTTAAGTTTCATTTCATTTTTTTGTATGGCTTTGCATTTTGGTATTTTTTATTTATGCGTCATACCATATTGTAAAATTGTTGTACAAATATTGTTAAATTACTTTTACTGATCACATGTAGCTGTGATCTGTAGCAAAAAAAAAACTGGAAATATTTTATCAATAAATAACACTATATCGAAAAGGTGAAAACCCTGAAAATTATATATTACCAAGCAGCAGCAAAAACAAAATTCAGACATCTCCTCCAAAGCTGTCCACTCCACACACACACTGCCTCTTTCCCTTTTTTGTCTCCTCCCTTCAGGCTTCTCCATTTTGATTCTGTACTGGTCCTCTGAAATCTCACTGTGGAATCCATCTTGAGTGAGACAAAATGGTATTTCAGTCCAGCCGCTGTGAGCTGCTGCAATTTTCTCTTCAAGCACCTCTATGCTCCTGCAATGCCTTTTAAGACGTCAGAGCCCAGTTATTGTGTTATGACAGAATGAAGTGCAGGCAGAGGGGACGCTACAGTAGGGAGGGGGTTCAAAATGAGAGCTATTGTTTCGAATTGTATTTTATTGTATATCTTCTCCGTGACCCGCTCTCTTTAATTCCACTGCTTTGGCTTTAACTCGCTCACTGCATCAGCATTCAGGGGTAATTCCTGTCTACGATGCCAGTATGTCAAGTAAGAAACTACGCACAATGTCCTTTAAACACTAAAATGTAAGAACTGTGAACTGGTAGTGTTTTACAGTGTAGCATATAAACTGCTATGGATTAATTAAGGAAGTAATTGAGGCCTCAGGTCCCATATGCATTAAAAATCCCCTGGACAGAGATTTCTATGTTATTGTCAGAGAGTTGAGCCCTTCCCTCCATTCATTCACAGGCACTGCTACTGTAAAGTGAAAAAGTGCTCCACTCCACCAGACACACTTTATCTAATCATCCCCACTTTGCCAGAGACAGAATCTAATACGAACAGCGGGCTCTCACTCTCAGCAGGCTAAATAAGCCTCGGCGTACAGATGAGCTAGTGTCACAGCATCCTCACTGCCAACAGATGCTCGGAAGTCGCTGTGATTTAAATGAGAGCCGAGCTGGTCAGATCTTAGTTGACAATCTGCAGCTCAGTAACTAGAGTGAATTAGTTTTGAACTGCCAATGTGTTTATTCCAATCGCTCATGCAAAATCAACATCTGTAGTCAAATCATATTTCTGGCACATTGCCACTAATAAACATATTTTTATAACAGAAGCCTGTTTGGTGTTCTCCAGCAGAAAATGTAAACTATAGAAATAATAAGAGTCTGAGAGAGTCTGCAGCCATGCTAGTGGCTCTATGAGACACAATGCTAACATGCTGATGTTTAGCTGGTATAATGTTAATCATTTAATCTCAGTTTGGTGTGTCAGCATGCTAACATTTGCTAATTAGCACTAAAACTGAGTACAACTGAGGCTGATGGGATGTCATTAGTTTTCAGGTGATCACTGAGTTGTTACAATTCATGCTGAGGGGAACACGGATGTTGATACCAAATTTCATGGCAATCCATCAAATAGTTGTTGAGACATTTCATTCAAAACCACAAATGGTGACGCTATACGAAAAGTCAGAGGATCACAAATTTCATCAGGATTTATCCTCTGCAAACCATAAATGTTGTTACAAAATGTCCATCCAGCAGATGCTAGGATATTTCACAAGATAACTCCAAAAGCAGCAACTTTTCAGATGAATTATGCTTCAAACATTAACCGTACTGTGTGCATGTTAGGTCCTCTTTAAGAGAATCACTAAACGCAACACTGACGTAACACTAAATATATGACACTACATGGGAGCACAGTTTGATTGTAATAGGTTGAAAACGTTTAGTACAGAGAGAAATCTCTTCTATAAAGGGTGAGTTGGTGAGTCAGAGTTGTTATTGTTTAAAGAGGAAGGTGGGACTGGCTCTCAGTACACTGTGAGTCAGACAGTGAGGAGGGACCCAGTTCTAGTCGGGTCAGCAGAGACAGAGAGATGATAAATGGGCTTATGAATGTTCTAGGTCTGTGTGGTAACTTCTCTGGCCCACTTCAACTCTCCTGAGTCAGTTCAGACATTAAATTAAAATTAAAAACAGATAGCTGTCCATCATAGGCTGACTATACACTGCGTCGTTTGGAAAATGCACATCTATCCAATAGTT